GTATAGCTGAAGTGGAGAAACGACTGCAAATGCGATGGGTTGTGTACTTGAGAGAACAGACAGAGACGGAAGCTGGTGGAAGAACAGTCTGCAACAGGGCTGGTATGCATTATTACTTTTTGTTTGGGGGGGGGGGTGGGGGGGAGTGACCGAACATGATTGGTAACATATTATCACTACTATCGTTCATAATACGAGTTTGAATATGAATAAGAGTATGAACAAGTATACGACTATGGAATGTTACTGGTAATGAAGCCCCGGAGCTTCCCCTCTCGATCCCTCGTCGAACAGCCCCTGCGGATCTTAGACAGGGTTACTTTCGATTGAGAGTAGGCTTTTGGGGCAGAATACACCCTGAACCCTAAACCCCTAAACCGTTCGATTTAGAACAGGATTTTGGGGCAGAATATACACAAACTACCCACCGAACCAAGCCCGTAAACGATGAAGGCCGGCCATCAGCCCCGTGAACCTTGCTTGAACCTGCAACACCGCATAAGTTCATAAAAAAAGGCTTTCTAATGCCCAGCAAAGTCCGGTTAACAACCGATAAAGACGCCAAAAGCAAGTATTGTAATCCTTAACAAGAAGCCCTACACCGACCCTAACACCTAAACCTCCAAACCTCCAAACCCTAAAAGCCAGGGAACTTCGCGTTTCCTAAAGTTTCTAGGCAGCCGGGGCTCGAAAGCAGCCCCAAGGTGTTGAGCACGGTTCTAGGATTTTAGGTTTAGGATTTAGGGTTTAGGGTTTTAGGGTGCAGGGTTTTAGGGTTTTAGGGTTTAGGGTTTAGGTACCAATGAGCATTTTATAAGTTTTGCATCGCCGTGCAAGGCTTTGAGCGCTTTATATTGGCGCTCTCAAGTTCCGCAAGGCTTTATCCTGGTGTTCCGGGGCTCATAAGGGTTCTGCCAAATCGGGCTTTAAATTTAGGATCACAACTGGGAGATGCTGCAAATATGAGTGGGGTCTCGTAAATTTAAACTCTTGCAAGCCCTGCTCCCATCTTTTTTGACTTGATTGACTTGATTAAGCCGTTTACATTAGAAGCTGCCCCGACCCTGTAATAGTGACTATAAGGATTATATTAGGGCCCTATTATATTCCTATTATACCACTATTACAGGCTGGGGGCCCCTTCTAAGGTTTACACCATGGAAATCCTCGCTGAACAAATCGGCTCGATTAGTGTAGGGCCTCCTCCTCGCATGGCTTCGGGTGACCGCAGCGTCATAGACATCCCGCCCGGGCGCAATGTCCAGAGATCTTGAGGAGACGAGGGAGGACTATTCGTCTGTGAGGAGGCAAGGCAGGCAAGGTAACTAGAAAATTTTAGGGTCTGGTGCGCTTTGAGAGTTTCCGGCTTCAAGATGGGTGGGTTGCAGGGTTCAGGGCCTTAGCCATAAAGTCTCGCGAAACTATTGTTGTTCCAGCCTCATGGCTGTGTGATTTCTCACCATCGTTTGTTGTTGCTATGGCTGCTACCGTTGCGAGTACTTTTTGCTGTTGCTGTTTGCTGCTTCTGCTACTGGTGCTCGTTTTTGCTTCTGTTGGCGGTGCTGCTGTTGCTATTGTTAGCGCTATGATGATTATTGTTCGTTGCTGATGTTGATTTTGACTTTACTGTTTATCATCTGGTAGTCGACACGGCGGCTATGGTTCTGCGTGTGGCTGCAATTATGGTCGTTGCTAAGGGGGCGGGTATGGTTACGGCTATGCTGCGGTTAGTCGTCATGGCTATGCTTCTGGTTTCGTTTTGTGCTTTCGCGAGTGTCGTTCTTGTGAGTTGGGGATAGTGTTTTTTTTTTTTTGTTTTTTCTCCTTCTGGTGTTGTCTGTGAACGAATGCGTGCTGCTTAGATTTTTCTGCTGCCGGCACTCTCGTTGTATTCTTTGTGCTTGTGTGCATGTTGATGATGGTGATGGCTTTCATGTTGGTGTTGTTGTCGTCGTTGTTGTCGTTGTTTGTCGGTTCTGCTTCTCATTACTGTTCTTGCTATCATTCTTATGCGTCTTATCGTCGCTGTTTTTTTTGTTTCCGGGGTGTCATTGTCGTTGCTGCTGCTGCTGCTGCTGCTGCTGGTGTTGCAGCATTTCTTTTGTTGTTGGTTGTTGGTTGTTGTTTGGAGTTTGGTGGTTGTTGTTTGGAGTTTGATGGTTGTTGTTTGGCGTTTGGTGTGAGTTGTTTGTTGTCTGTTGGTTGCTGTTTGTTGTGGGTTGTTTGTTGTTCTTTGTACATTGTTCGTTGTTTGTGGTTTGCTGTTTGTTGTTTTGTTGTCGTTTTTTTTTTTTGTTTTTTTTTTTTTGCTTGTTCTGCTTCTAATTCTTATTATTCCTATCGTTGCTGCTTTTGTTTCTGGGTTGTCAATGTCTTTGCTGCTGCTGCTGCTACGGCTGTTTCTGGTGTTGCGGCTTTCTCTGTAGTTGTTGTTGCTTCTGTTGTTTTTTTGGCACTTTTTTGCGCTGTCATTGAATGCAGTGCCGTCACTGCTGCTTAGTTTTGATTCTTCCTTTTTTCGATTGATGGTGTTGTTGTCACATGTGTGAGTTGTTTGAGTTTCGTTGCCCGTGTTGCTGTTGATTACATTTCGGCGGTTATTACGTTATCTCGTAATTTCTGACACTGTTGCAGAGATTTCAGCGACGATGTTGCATTTGCTTATTACGTACTGTTGTTGCCACTACTGAGAACAAAGCCATCTGTTCGCGGTCATTTGTTTTGTACCTGTCCCTTGTTATTTACTGTTGTTTTCATTCGAATGCGGTGTTTTGTTTTTGAGTTGCTATGTCTAGCTGCTATGTCAAGTCTCATTACAGTCCCAAGTGTTCTGAACCCGGAAGTCCACCACGCCTACAGCTCGCAGCGCATTCCGCTGCAGCTAGCTCAACACTCCTTTTCCGGTTTGGGGTTGAACATAGGGGCTGAAATATTTGATAGCAGGCGCATTAGGCAACACGTGACATCATGCGTTTTTGTCGTTTCTACAAGACATTCCCAAGGTGCCTGCTGCTGTCTAGGACTAGGGGGGTGGGGGGGATGGGGGTGGGGCTTAACAGCGTCCGGCCGTCGCATATCCTCTCGAGTGCATTTGCGAGCCGGTATGGCGCTCGCCTGGCTTACGCTGACACTCTCAGCCGTCATCATCCTTGGGCTGTCGTCAGTGACAATGATGACGGTCATCCTGATGAAGATGAAGATGCTTCAAATGATCAACATGTAGATGACGGCAACGATGATGATCTTTCATGAACATTATGATGAATAGTAAGGTGATGAGTAATATTGTGATCAAAGATCCAAATGATGTTGATAATGACGTAGATAAAGAGGGTGATGACGGTCGTCATGATGAACATGATTAAGATTATAATGATGCTCAATGTGATGATAAAGACGATGATGATGATGCTGCTGATGATATTGCTAATCGTAAGTATACAGTACTTTCCGTGATGTGCCACGAACCTGTCTTTTGCAGAAATCGTGCTAACACCGCAGTTTCGTGCACTTTCTGAGTACGACTGCGACGTGGCGCCTGATGCGCCCGTACCCAAATAGTTACCAATACTATTCTTAGGGTACCTTGCTATACTTATAGTATAGTATGACCCAAAACCCTATTCTATTCATTGAGTCACATATTAATGTATTCGGCGACAACAAGGGAGTTCATGAACTTTTATGAACTGAGGGGGACCGGGACTCCACCGAAGCTAAGTTGCTAGAGTTCTAGCTTCTTTTGCCATAAAGCCGCCTACATACATACCAATACTATTCTTAAGGGTTCCTTATGATAGTAATACTATTCTTAAGGGTTCCTTATTATATTAATACTATTCTTAACGGTTCCTTATTATAGTAATACTATTCTTAAGGGTTCCTTATTATAGTAATACTATTCTTAAGGGTTCCTTATTAATATATTAATACTGTTCTTAAGGGTTCCTTATTATATTAATACTATGACTGAAGAAGGGCATTCTAATTTTTTAAGGCTCCCTATGGTACGCTGATACACGGCAACAGGAGGGGTTTTCTACAGTTCAGGTAAGCCCGAACCTCAATTGGGGTTGAAGGTCTGGGTCATCATACCGCGTGTTACACCGGAATACTATACCAGAAACGTCAAGGATGTACAGGAAGCTCAATAAAGTAGTAAGACGTGAGACTAGTGTTTAAGGGTTTTAGGGCCATCCGACCCATACCCTAAACTCAAACAGCATCGGATGCCCGAACTCAAACTCCACCCTGAAGCCCAAATCGCAGGGACATCGATTTTGAGAGCGATGCCGAAGATGCTGGGCTTGTCACAGAAGCTCCACAACCGCAGCAGGCCTTCGAACGTGGGGTTTGGGTTTAGGGTTTGGGGTTTAGGCAGTGAAGTTTCATCAGTGGTTGAGCCTCTGTCCATTTGTTTTCAAGGGTTTTGGGTTTGCTTAGCATCGCAACTCCGTGAACCCTGGACCCAGACCTCAAGCCACATCCCTTTTCAGACCCTATGCTCAGCCAGGGTCGGCAGCGGCTTGGCGTTCCTTTGGTCTTCGGTCTCGGCTTCATCGGTTACTTGGCTTTGGGACGTGCAGGGATGCAGGGGCAAGCAACACAAATTCAAATCGCACAAGAGGCCCAGGCCCAAAGTTGATGCAACCGTAGAAGTCCGAGGAGGTAAATTATGGAATGCCATACTATGGTGATCTATGCAAGCATGACCCCCAAGGCCCCCAACACGACGAACAAGAAAGCCGATATTCGCGGGGGGGGGGGGGGGGGGGGGGAACGGTCCATATGTATGTTTGCATCACTGGGCTCCCCCAATCGTTTTCGAAAACAGGCTAAACGGTTTAGTGTTTAGGGTTTTGGGTTTAGGGTTTAGGGTTTACTTTAAACTTTCAATCCTAAATCCTAAACCCGGCCCTGGCTTGAGCATTGAGGGCTGCTGGACCCTAAGCCCCAAACCGTGTAAGGTTTTCCAGTTTCCCAAAGTCTCGGCCCCCAAGGGCTCGCGATCTGTTACTTCGCCTTCCGCCCCATCCATGATGACACGAGCGTGGAGGCAGAGAGCCATGATCTGTAGGCTGTAGGGTTTCAGAGTATAGGGCTCGCGGCTTAGCGTTTGCATTCCTTAGTGCCGTCGCTGCTCTTGGTGCTTGTTGGGTCGGTTTTCGAATTTTTATGGATGTCAAGAGCCCGTTTGGTCACGATGATCACAGTTGTTGTGTTGCTGGCTTTCTCGATCTCGTCGTGGTCGCTACAGCCACTGTGAGAGTGTATATCTCGTCCCCTGAACCGCATACCACCAAACTAGATCCTAGGCCTTGAACCTTCCAAAATCTCCAGGCACGACCGCAAAGCAGTGATACGAGAGAGCAGGAAGCTTCACACCGTGAGGCACATTGCGAAAAGCGGAGAGAACAGGATCCAAGCCTTAAGCATAGATTGGTTTATGGAATTAATGTCGAATTCCATGCAAGGCGTGTGGCTGAACTATCACACCCGTACGAACCCTCTAGCCTTGAACCCTGAACCCACACACGGCGTGTCGAGTCTGTGGAGAGGAAGTCCTTTCGTTGAGCGAGCAGCTGACCCGCACGAAGCAAGAGGCGGGCAAGGGGTTAGGGCTTAGGGTTCAGAGATCAGGGAAAAGCCTGGGGTCTGAGGTTTTGGGTTGAGGATGTTGAGTTTCCGGTGTCTCTTGCGCTAGCACTGCCCTTCTTGCTCCTGCACCGGAACACAGACCAAAAGCCCGACTGTGGACCCTGGATCCTGACTATGCCAGGTGATGCTGGCTTTGGAGCACGCCGAAGGGAGGGACGAAAAGATAAAGCATCACCTGCGAACCTTGGACACGCTATACAACGTTTTGCAGGCCTCTTCGCCTGAGCTCAGCGTTCAGCGTTTAGAGTTCAGGGTTTAAGGAGTTTAGGAGTTCAGGGTTGAGATTTTAGGCTTGAGGGTCGAGGGAGGAGAGGCATAGAGGTTTCAGGGGTTGGGAAAGGTCCCGGGCCCTAGGTTCAAATTTTCTTCGCCAGCTTCTGTATGTTTTGAGACCAGGCCCTGCCTAGAAACGGTAAATCGCATGCTCTCTTTCGACCGGTGAGCCTAGCCCCGTGGGGTCATGTTTGGGGGTGAATTAGAACTCACTTATTTCTGGGGTTTGGAACACTTATTTCTGGCATTTAGAACACAAATCTCTGGGATTTAGGACACGTCTTTCTGAGATTCTGAACACTTATTTCTGAGGTTTTGGAACACCTGTCTCTGGGAGTTGTCTGTCTCTGGGATTTATGGCACTTGTTTCTCTTGTTTTACAGCATTGAGTTAATTTAGCACACTTCTTTCTGAGATTCAGAACACTAATTTCGATGGTTTTAGAACACTTCTTTATGGGTTTAAAAACACTTACCTCTGCTGTTTTTGAGCACTTAGTTCTGGGGCTGTTAACACGATCTATCCTGGCCCGGTGAACACTTATCTTGGTGGGAAGTTGAACCCTTATCCTGGCCCGGTGAGCAGTTATTTGGTGGGAAAATGCACACTTATCCCCTCCCGTTGAACGCTTATTTTGGTGGGGAATTGAGCACATATCCTGGCCCGGTTAACGTTTATTTTGGTGAGAAAATGCACGCATATCTTGGCCGGTGAACACGTATTTGGTGGGAAAGTGAACACGTATCCTGGCCTGGTGATCACTTGTTTTGGTGGGAAAATGAACTCTTATCTTGGCCCGGTGAACACTTGTGTTAGGGGGAAGTGGAACACTTATGTTGGTCCGGTACACATATCCTGGCCTGGTGAATTCGTCAAAGGTTTAAGTGTTCAATCTTCCAGAACTAGGTGTCGAATCGTCCAGATTTAAGTGTTCAGATCGTCCAGATTTGAGTGTTCAACCGTCCAGAATTAAGTGTTCATTTCGTCCACATTTAAGTGTTCCGTCGTCAGATTGAAGGGTTCATGTCTGTACCAGAAACCATGTGAAGAGTTATTGTCAGAGGACGCCCATAATTGTTAGACTTTCATGATGTTAAAGGTGCAGAGGGTGCTGGCGATGACAGCGACAACGAGGATGAGGATGATCATGAAGACAGGTATCACGATGATCGAGGTGATGATGCTGATGATGGCAAGAGTGATGATCGGGATTGTTACCATGGTGGTGGTCGTCGTGGTCACCGCTGTCGTGTTTGTCGTCCGCGTCCTCCGCGCACTCCGCGCCCTCCGTGCCCGTCGTTGTCGGTGTCGGTCGTCACGACTTGAGCAGTGTCGTTGCCAGTCTTCGAGCGAGTATCACAGCTCTACAGCCGCACAGCTGCCGCGACGCAGCTGCTGCTTCGACGGGTACGGCAAATCCTTTTTCGATCACAGTTTCTGTTTGTTGATCGTTGAAGGTCAAGAAGTTCAACCGCATTGTGCACATGAAGACAGCGAACAAAGTTTCGTGTGCCTTCAACGTCGTGGAGGCAGTGGGCATCATTCAGAGGGCTCAGTGGCCGGCTTGAGCCAGTGCTCCACTCCCAAACTTCCGTGCATTTTGCTTTGAAGTCTAGTAGCGCCTCGCCTTGCTTGAGCCCTTGATCTTCTTGAATCTCCAAATCTACCGACAAGGTACGTGGCAGGAGCCTGCCCCGTTCCCGACAACATCCGTCCCTCAAGTCACCCTGCACCCTAAACCCTAAACCCTAAACCCTAAATCCTAAACCCTAAACCCTAAACCCTCTGTACCGTGTTGTTTGGGTTTCAGGTCTTCGCCCAAGGTAGCAAGGCCCGGTCTGCTAAGGCCACAAAGCCTTCTGCCCTAAACCTGTTCAGCCACCCCAATCCCTTAACTGCTGCGAAGCTTTGCTCCACTCCCGACCCAAAGCCGGCCGGAAAGCTCTGCGCCAAGAGCGATTTACTATAAAGAGCGGTTGAGGGTAATCCCTAAACCCCTAAACCCTACACAGGCTTTCTTCAGCGCCATGGCCTTCGGGGACGACATCAATGGTATGATTCGGACCTGTCCGCCACCTCGCCCTCCACGATCCGAGTACGCCTGCCAGGTCGGGGCTAACAGGGTTTAGGCGAGTGCAGGGTTAGTTCTTTGTTGGGTTTCTAAGGGTTCTACGCAGGGGCTTGAGGCTGAGGCTTTGTGTTGAGGGCTTAGCGGGAGCGGGGGTGGGGTTCTGCACAGGGTTTGGGCTAGGATGAGAATCTTCACGAGTGGGAGTTTTGGAGTTCCAGGGGCCCAAAAAAGGTTTCCCATACTTTGCTGTAACTGGCTTCAAAATGTTGTTGCGGAAACCAACTAGGGCCCAACACATCAGACAGAGACAGAAAGAAAAGAATGGAGAGCTCGTGAACGAAAGAAAAAGACAAGGAAACCAAGGCAGACAAAGACACAAGACATGCTCTGCTTCGAGCCATTGTTGTTTCCTCCTCCTCCTCCTCGTCTTGCTGCTGCTGCTGCTGCTATGACGGCTACAAACAACAACAACTACTACTACTGCTGCTGCTGCTACTACTACTACTACTACTACGACTACTACTACTACTACTACTACTACTACTACTACTACTACTACTACTACTACTACTACTACTACTTGTCACTGCTGCGAAGTCAGGGGTGGTTCATTGCATCCTTGCTGTTCGCCTCGGTGTGCCTTCTATATGTTTGCTTCGACGTTCCATAGCCATGCCAGAAGCATAGTTTTTGACAGCAAAACACAACGAGTCACCTGGATCACAGCACGAGGATATCCTTGAATCGCTTACTCCGAAGTCCCAAGCCAAAGCCCCGAAAACCCAGACCCGAAGGAAGACCCTAAACCGGCCCTACTTGGAGGTTCATGGGTAGGTATGAGTGGCGTCATGACTAGGGTAACTATGGCTATAACCCCGATCAGAGGACTTATAACCCCGTTTATAACTACCCATGAACCTCCAAGTAAACCCTAAACCCGATACCCTTATAGAATCCCTATAGATCCCCTTACAGGGACCCTTAGAGGAACCCTTATAGCTACCAATGAACCTCCAAGTACACCCTGGACCTGGTCAGACTTCTGATTCAGCCCCGCACCCTCCTGAACAATCCTCAAGCCTTACATAAATGGGTGGCTGTCAAAATTATGGTCCATTTTTGGGTCCTTATTATAATACGGCACCTAATATTTAGGGTAAGCCGAAAAGGAGCCATAATTTTTGACAACTACCCAAATGCCTGCTTCAGGTTGATTCGGGCATGTTAATCTTCTGGGTCGGGAACCTGGCATCGAAGCTCGCCGCAGCGGTTTCGGAATGCAGCTTGGACTTTGTTAAGGACCCTAAATTGCAGTACACTTTCAGTATCCCTTACAGTGTCTCTTATAGATCCCTTTTAAGGAGCCATTAAGTCCCTCTATGACAGTACATTGGTTCGGCTTGTTGAGTTTCCGTTTCGGCTGCTCCGGGTCTGGGCTTTTTCGATTTCTCGCATTTTGCGGTTGTTGATGGCTCCATCGTTTCGAGCTGTTCCATCAAGGTTTGAGTAGTTGGGTTTCAGGCTTCGGGTCTTTTGGTTTTGTGGTTTGTGCGCTTTTCAGGATGTTTCCGCACTGGTCGTCTTCTGCTGGTTGCCCAAACACAGCGTCAAGTCAAGGAGTTGCACTAGCATCGTTCTTCCGAGGTCCTATGGCTTAGACGTTCCACCTAAATCGACACACCACCTTTAATTTTCGTTAGATGTCTCTTCAAAAAACGAACATCAAAAGACAGCCTTCCCTTATAAGCCTCACTCGCCAGATGACGGGTTACAGTTCATGACGCGTGCATGACGTCGTCATGCTCGTGACCCATGTTTAACAGCCGAAGCTCAAGCACTAAACCCCCAAAGCTGCACAATCGAAAGTCAGGACACCTGCATTTCTGTTCATCTTCGTTTGAGGCTAGCCTGTGCCAGAGTCTAGTTTGCATAGCCGGCGCCGCCTAGCTTTTTGTTGATACCTTCCTTGGTCGGTGCCCCATTGGGGGACCCAGTAGGCTGGGGGCGCCTTGTTTCGGGTTACCCTATAAACACCGAGAGGTACAGCACCCGGAACCCAACAAAGAACCCGAATTTGGAGGACTACCCATGTCCGAAACCCTAAACCCCAAACCCCAAACCATCAGCACCCAAAGCAGGTGAGAACACGCTCAGCGTGGGAGGTGGCCTCTACGGCCAATTGCCGGGCAATGATCGCGGGCCGCTCTGTGCCTCAGGCCGGCGGAGGGTTGATTCTTGGGTTTTGGGGGTTAGGGTTTAGGGTGGTTTTGGGAAGATCCTATAAGGATTTCATGAGGGTTCTATCTATCACGGGGCATTAGATTGATTGGGGGAGTCTTGGATTTGAGGTTACATCAACGATTTAAGGAGGGACACCTACTTCTTTCACATAGACCTGTGTGGCAGGGCCGGGAAAGAATATTCAAAACTCGGATCAAGAAGCTCTGGCAAACAGTCCTGAACGTGGAGTGGAAAGGGTTTACCTCAAAAAGCGGGTTATTGCAAGGATTTTGAAGTATTTGTTATTCGGGTTTCTGGAAGACGGTGGTCGAGAAGAAGCAGGTTGGTGACCCGCGGAGTTAGCCAGTATCGGCCAAGTAGAGCAACCATTAGTTATGAGTATTTCCAGGCAAGACTGTGACCCGATTTATAGCCACATCAAGTGTGGGAAGGGTACGTTTGCAGGTTAAGACTGCAGGTTTGCGGGTTTATGGTGTAAGGTTCGGGCTGGGGATTTCAGAGTGTTAAGGGTCGATGTCCAGGCGTGGGATGGTTTGGGCTAGCGCGAAGGCCGCAAGGAACATGGGAGGTTCTAGCTCGTGATTCCCTACTTGGAGGGTCCGGGGGACTTAGTGACTGGTTATTGTAGGGACTTATAAGTACATAACCCCAATTAGGGTCCCTTTTAGTGTACTTATAAGTCTACTTACTACCTACTTACTAAGTCCCCCGACCCTCCAAGTAATGGCGCGCCCCAGGACAGCTTACACCAGAAACTGCTTGAAACACCATTTATTGAGACCCCTGCATTATAAGCCCACCTTGGAACTCCGCACCATAAGCATCCACAAACAGGGGCCCGCCAGCTCGTTGCTTTTTGAGGGGGCGCAGCATGGTTCAATTCCCGAAACCCTATGCCCCAATACCCTGCACTCTTAGCCCCACCTTCAGCTCTAGACTTTACTCCGATCACCTCGAACTCTGGGGATAGGCCATAAAAAATTCAATAGGCACCTAGAAGAATTAAATAAGCATTGAAAGAAATAAACAGACATCTAAATAAATCGGACTGTTTAGACTATAGAGAGAGAGAGAGAGAGACAGAGAGAGACAGAGAGAGACAGAGAGAGAGAGAGAGGGGCGGTGAAAGAGAAGGAAAGAAAGCAAGAAAGAAAGAAAGAACGACAGAAAGAAAGAAAGACATATTGAAAGATAGAAATAAAGACGGCAAGAACGAAAGAAATAAAGTAGAGATGGAAGTAAGAAATGAGTAAAGAAAACAACCAGCAAGAAAAGGACTGAACGAACGAAATAAAGACAGAAAGCCGAAAAGAAACACACACACACACACACACATTGAACACCACGAAAGAGAAAGAACATTAACCAAGTTAGAAAGAAAGAAACAACCAAAAGAGAAGTACAGAATCTAGTCTAATAAAATATACCATAATACGACAGAGCATAATGTACCATACTGTAACTTAATGCTATATAATAGACTGAATATCATGTTATATATATATATATATATATATAGATACACACTATATACTACATATGTTACAGCGTACTACCGTATAAACTAAGAGGTTGCTATGTACTAAGTTATATTACATCATACTGTATTTTTATATTCTGTTTATTATATGTTATAACAAGCTATGTTATGTTATGTCAGATAATGTCATATTGCTTTTGTGATTTCGTGCCATCTCATGTCATTCTTATGGTTATGGTATGCTATGTTATGTTGGAGTGCTAGCGGAAGAAGAGAAACGAACAGGCAGGGAAGAACGTACGACTCACCCCCGCTCTTTTTTGAGCCGTGCAAGCTTGCTTCAAAGAGTGTTTTCGAAGGCCATCATGCGAGCAGCACATTGATATAAGGGATCCTACCATAATTTAAGGAATATTCCTTAATTAAGGGATATTGGAGTCTCTGGGTCCCTAATGGCGCGCCCCAGGACAGCTTACACCACAAAATACTTGAAACACCATTTATTGAGACCCCTGCACTCTTAGCCCCACCTTCAGCTCTAAACTTTACTCCGAACACCTCGAACTCTGGGGATAGGCCATAAAAATTTCAATAGGCACCTAGAAGAAGTAAATAAGCATTGAAATAAATAAACAGACATCTAAATGAATCGGACTGTTTAGACTATAGAGAGAGAGAGAGGGGCGGTGAAAGAGAAGGAAAGAAAGCCAGAAAGAAAGAAAGAACGACAGAAAGAAAGAAAGAAAGACATATTAAAGGATAGAAATTCAAGACGGCAAGAACGAAAGAAAGAAAGTAGGGATGGAAGTAAGAAATGAGTAAAGAAAGGAACCAGCAAGAAAAGGACTGAACTAACGAAGTAAAGACAGAAAACCCAAAAGAAGCACACACATTGAACACCACGAAAGAGAAAGAACATTAACCATAGAAAGAAAGAAACAACCAATAGAGAAGTACATAATCTAGTCTGATAAAATATACCATTCTACGACAGAGCATACTGTACCATACTGTAACTTAATGTTATATAATAGACTGAATATCATGTTATATATATTTATATAGATACACACTATATACTACATATGTTACAGCGTACTACCGTATAAACTAAGAGGTTGCTATGTACTACGTTATATTACATCATACTGTATTTTTATATTCTGTTTATTATATGTTATAACAAGCTATGTTATGTTATGTCAGATAATGTCATATTGCTTTTGTGATTTCGTGCCATCTCATGTCATTCTTATGGTTATGGTATGCTATGTTATGTTGGAGTGCTAGCGGAAGAAGAGAAACGAACAGGCAGGGAAGAACGTACGACTCACCCCCGCTCTTTTTTGAGCCGTGCAAGCTTGCTTCAAAGAGTGTTTTCGAAGGCCATCATGCGAGCATTGTGTTTGCAAATGGGGGATGCGCCCCCCCCCCCCCCGCCCCCGCCCCCGCCCCCGCCCTGCTTTTTTAAGTGGTGCGAGGTTGCTTCGAAGCATATGGTTGTTTTTGAATCCCATCACGCGAACATCGTGTTTGCAGATGGGGGGGGGTCTGCACCCCCCCCTCTCCCCCGCTGTTGGGACATGTTGTGGATACATGCTGAACCAGAATCGCCACATGAGGGGGCATGTTTCAAATGTATATACGATGAATCAGAATTGAATATGAGGGGGCGAGCTTAAGATAGGATGAGCCGGAATAGCCAAACGAGGGGGCGTGTTTAAGATATACGAGGAACCGGAATCGCCAAATGAAGGGGCGTGTTTAAGACATATTATGAACATGACGCGCCAAATGAGAAGGCATGTTGTAGATATATGAGGGACGGAATCGCCAAATGAGAGGGCGTGTTGTAGATGGATGATGAACCGGAATCGCCAAATTGACGGGGCGTATTGATTAAGATTTTTGATGAATCCGGAACTGCCAAATGAGGGAGCATGTTTAAGATATATGATGCCAAGCAAGGGGGGCGTGTTTAAAGTGTATGATAAACCGGAATCGCCAATGAGGGCGCGTGTTGTCGAGATATGATGAATCCCCTAAGTAAGGGGGCATGTTTAACGTATATGATGAACCGGAATCGCCAAATGAGGGGGGCGTGCTTAAGGTATGATGAACCGGAATCGCCGAATGAGGCAGCGTGTTTAAGATTTGTGATGAATCCGAATCGCGGATTGAGGGGGCATGTTCAAGATATATGATGAACCGGAATCGCCAAATGATGTGGCATGTTTAAGATATATGAGGAACCGGAGTCGCCAAAGGAGGGAGTGTGTTTAAGAAAAGCATGAGCCCGAGGTGAGGCAGGACATTTACATTAACACGCACACATCTCTCTCTCCGATGCTCCTTCCTCTGACCAGCCACGCAAATCAGCGAGTCCATGTACGTAAGCATGAGAATAGACCTAAACCACTGCGAGGTAGAATACCCCGAAACCCAATCCTTAGAATCGCCTGACGCAAACTGTCCTAAGAATTGCTGCATTTCCCAGGTTTAATTTGTTTTGATGCCTTGGATTTAATTTTTCGATGCCTCACCCCATAACTCTGACTCTAATCCCTACAGCCAAAACTCTAAACAGCAGAGCCAGCTAGAGTTCGTTCTCATCTGGCTACGAGGTGTGGGTCAACTTGCCGGTGCTTTGGGGGAGTTGGCTGGGGCTTCGTCGATGGCTGCAACTACGTGCGGGAACATAACGGACGATGATGAATATGACTATGACTATGAGATGCTTGGCCAGGTTTCAGCTTTATACCAACAATCTCCAAACCCTGAACCCCAAACCCCAGAATCCCCTTGTAGAACTTTCATGGAACCTTATGGGTTCAGGCCTTTGCGTTTAGGTTTGAAGCTGCTGTCTCCTTGCTGAGTAGGGCGACAGAGGTACTATGGAGATTGCGGTAGGGGTACCTTATTATGGGGTCCTTGTACTAAGGGTCCTACTATTCAGGGTACTTTATTAGGACGAAGGCTAAGGTTGCAATTGGGGTTGAGGTTCAGGGTTCACGGTCTCGCGGCTAGTGACCTGCAGCCCACGTGTCGCTGTGATTAAGACGCGTTCTTGCGGGATGTCATTCCCTCAACAGCAAGCCCCACCCTAAACCTATACCCGAAATTCAAAACCTTAACCACAGCCAGGCATCATCACAGGAACCACTTCTTCGAGGGGCACGTCAGCACCTTCGGAGATCAGACGCAGGAATATAACGAATGGAGGAATTTGGCGGACGAGCGCAAGCTCCTGATCGGTGAGGGCTACGTAGGCCAGGGAATAAGGGGCCTATTCCTCAGGGCTGTAGGTGTCTGACTATATAGCTATGCTTTCCCAGAGCCCCACTCCAATCATCGCCAGAAAACCTGTAAAGGTGCCCTAAAGGTCCTCGGGGGGTGTTTCTGGTTTTTGGCCCTGGTGCTCAGATTCGGAGTGCCTGGAGTTGCGGGTTTCCCTAAACCCTAAGCCCTAATCCGTAATCCCTGAAGCTTAAACCGAGACCTAGAGCCCTATACCTGAAACCGCGCTGTCCTTAACCCAAAAGCTTGCAGAAATTGAACGAACCCATGTGAAACTCAAACGAATCCCTTACAAACCCTAGGAACGCCAAACAATTTCGAAATACTTTAACCAAGAACCTTCCCGCATTGTCGTCCTTTGATGAAGGGATGGTGGTGTGCTTCGGAGCGAAACCTGCAACAACAAACCCAGCACCGCTAACAGTGGACGCCCTAAAGTCTTCTGAAGCCGAAGGTAACATAGTGAATCAGATCCTGGACACGTAGAGTTTAGACCACTTGAAACCTGTATAGGTCACCCTAGTGCGCCCCTCAAGCCCGGAGGCAACGACATTCAATGTGCAGTGGACGTGGGCTTGGTCGCCACAAACATCGCAAACATGGGCCTTGCAACTGGGTTCTGTGTTTGCTAAGTTTTGAGGAAGGCTTCATAAGTTATCCGAAAAGCCTATATACGGGTGTTTAAACAGTTTTTTGTGTATACTGTTTATACAGGATGCTACAAGGGCTTTCTAGGGTCTACAAGGATCTCTAAAGGTCCTGATGGGGTTTTCGACTTACAGGGCCTGGTGGGGTATGATCAGGCCTTATTCGGTGTTGACGAGGATTGTATAGAGGAACCTAAAGCTCGTCACAAGCTCCCCACGAAGAAACCGTAAAGCCAAACCAACAACCCGAAGCGTCTGAAACCCTTGAAACGTCTTCACAGCACTGTAAAGATCCTTCGACCCTCTTTTAAAGCCCCAACCCAATCGTAAAGAAATCTTAGAGGCGTTTCGCCAACAAGAGATGAGCTGCTCAGGCAATCAACTCGGCAGTGAGATCGGGAAACTGTCAGAACAAGATTCTGCCAAAGCGAGAAGTCCCTCGGGGCTGGCTTTGCTTCAGGATTTAGGGCCCTCTACTTGGAGGTTCATGGGGAGTTATAGGTGGGGTTATAGTTAGGGTAATAATTAGGGTAACTATGGCTATAACCCCTATTAGGGGACTTGTAACCCCAATTCACAACTACCCATGCACCTCCAAGTAGGATTTAGGGCCCTGTGGGATCCTTTAGAGCACTTCTGGGTTGCGAGGGCTTTTGGGGGTTTAGGTCCAGGGCCGTTAGGGTCTTCGAGGGCTCTGGCTTTGGGGTGATCCTTTTGTGTACGGTTCAGGGTTTATAGTAAGGGTCCCTCAACGGTTTCCTTCGAGGTTTTGTCGGGTGCTGTGGCTTTACATGGTGCTTGCGGAGGTTTTGGCTCTTTCGTGGTGGTTTTAAAGCTTCATTTTGTGAGCTTGAAAAAGGCTCTCTGAAGGTCTCATGGGGGGTTCGGGTTATCTCAACATTTGTGACCTAGCCGAGTCGCGACTGTTGGTGCTTGTCGGGGGCTGAAAGTCTATTGCAGGCATAAGCCATGCCCTCAGACATTAATGCCTTGAGCCTCTGAATCCGTAAAGCTATTTCACTCTCAACCCCTTGAACCTAACCCTCTAAACCCCACACCAAAAACCGTTGAACCCCCAACTCTGAACCCCAAAACCTGAGCTAAGGCTCTGTGCACCGTTGACATCGGGAGAGCCGTTTCCTTCTTCGCTCAGATCGTGACCTTCCTACAGTTCTCGATTCTGAATTGTGAGGACCGCCAGGGTGTCAGGATTTAGGGTAGTTATTGATGCTATTCCTTACGGGCCTAGCATATCATCGTAGTGTGGCAGCCGCAGTTCCCTGATTCGATTCTCCAGGTCTTGAAAGTATACTATACTATACTTACTATACTATACTTGCTATACTATACTATACTATACTATACTATACTATACTATACTATACTGTACTATACTGTACTGTACTGTTCTATACTGTACTATACTATACTATACTATACTATACTATACTATACTACTGCACAGCCCACTGTAGGATTTGGCGTTTTGGAGTTCAGGGTTCCAGAAGAAGTGCCGGGCATGAGGCCCAACCAAGAGCAGGAAGCCTCATGCACACATCTACGGAGTTATAGTCGGGTTTACATCATGAACCTTTTCGGTGAAGTGTCCTGAGCACATAAATAGGTAGATGCATATTGTATGCATGCCTGTCTGCCGGTCTACTGTGTGTCTGTCTGCGGGTTGGTCGGTCGGTCTGTCTATCTGTGTATCTGTGTGTAGGTAGGTAGGTAGAAATGTAGGTAGGTCGGCAGGTAGGTATGAAGGTTTGCATATAGGTGTGTGTGTGTGTGTGTGAGTGTGTGTCTGTGTGCGTGTGTATGTGTGTCCAGCTGTGTGTGTGTGTGTATGTGTACGGGGTATGCATGTGTTTGCGTTGCATATATATGTATATGAATATGTATATGTGGTATGCTGTATGTATATATATATATATATATATATATGTATATATATACACACATACAGCAAAGCCGCGTTTCGTTTCGGTTTTCCAGATGGGGTTTGATTCGTTTCGGTTCGCGCGGTTCGCTGCCGTTCTTCTGGCAGTTCGGTTCGGTTCCGGTTTGGATAACCCATCCCTCCATCCGTTAAGGAGAACTCCTCTCGTGCGAAGGATCGGCAAATGATTGCAAGCATACTTTATCCATGTGTGTGTATGTGTGTGTACGTATGTGTATATAAGTGTATATATATATATATCTATATATATATATATATATATATATATGCCACCCCCCTTAAGGATCTGCCGTTTTCGTGTGTTTGAGAGCCGGATGCGAAATAGTGGATATTCTATAACGTATTCCGCTCTCTTTATAAACTCTTCACTAAATAAGCTTCGATTTGATCAGGGATTTCGCAGATCCTAGATTCTGCATTTCCTTCATATACAGTCCTGAGGTTTTCCACACGACATGCAATCGCGTACGACTTCTTCTCGTGTTGAAACAGTACGCAAGCTTGCATGTATGTTCAATGTGTATAGGTTTTACATGCAACAGTTTCGCAACAGGAGAGCAGATATATGTCGTCTCATATAACATAAACATCACGACAAATATTGATATGAAGTCAGGACTGTATTTCTACACCTCCCATATATAAGACGCATCGAGAGTGTAGATTAGATAATGTCCGTGAACACGAAATCTATCGATGTTTCCAGGGTGCAATACCTTGTATTTGACCTATATAATGCCCTTTAGTACGTTTTCGAATGCTCTGCAAAATTCCACTTTCACAACCTATATGTCTTATGGACATCCATCTGGAATATCCTCTCGGATCTCTTATACAAGACCACATATATGTGATACACCCCGCATGCCTTATATTACACATACCCTATAGGACACTCCATACAAGACACTGTATAGAATACCTTCCAAGTTCTCCTCTAGAATACCTCCTCTATGTATCCCAAAAGCTTCATCTAGAATACACTGATATAGAATACCCTCATGCCTTATTGAATACCCTAGGGCTTCTAGAATATCTTATCATATACTTTCAGGCATAGCCCATATATCCATAGAACACGTAGAGTACCTTGCAGAATACCACATAGAGTACCCTACAAAATCCTTATGGAACACATAGAACCCTCTATATATCGTACGCCTCATGGAAGACCATCTGGAGTATTCTGTAGAAGACCTTATAGAAAATGCCCCTATGGCCTTGTATATGATAGTCTTTGTATGCCGTATATACACCCTGAACCCACATAAGTCTTAGTGGCTCAAAACCCAACTTTTCAACTTTTGGCCCTTATAAGGTAGTCGTATTGTGAAAGTTTAAACTGTATACCCCCATGGGTATTTGGCAAGTAAGAATACCTACAGATAATTGTGAGGACAATCAGGACGAGCCCAAGGTCTGGGAACCCCCTCCACCAAAAAACAGCTCCTTGGGTAAGGGATTTCTAGGAGCGATCGTGGAATCGAAGAGAATATACTAGAGAATACCACAAACCTCAAAAATAACGTACAGGTGACCCTAGGTATTACATTAGACAATATCGCCTTTATACCTTATATATATGTATCTTTGAGTACCCTGTAGCCTATATAATACGCCTTAGAATACGTTCTATAAGACAACTTTTACGTTTATGTTGTTGCCTTGTACAATCCCTTATGCAATGCGTTATGGAGTACCCTATAGAGCGTCCAAAACATGCGTTACATCATAAGCACTTTACAGGCCTATTATAGAATATCATGTGCAATACCCTACAGACTACCTTACAGAAGACCCCTTGTCTATGATACCCCCTGAGTACCCCATAGGAAGTCCTAAAGAAAACCCTAAGGAATATTCTAAAAGATACCCGTAGAATGCACCATAAAATGCCTTGTAGAATATTTTGTAGATAACGGATTAATGAGGGAAAATCAGGCGCAGAATGCTCTGCGTTTACCTGCTATGTGCCCAATGAGGACATCCAAAGCAATAGCTTATAGAATGCCTTACAAAATACCCCTTCTTTAACTTAGATTATGGAAAACCCCCTATATACCTTTTTATGGACCTTGTTGAATACCCTATAGCCTATACAATACGTTATAGAATATTTTCTACAATACAACTTTTACGTTTGTGCTTATGCCTTGCACCATCCTTTATACAACGCCTTATGGAATTCCCTATATAATGCCCACAAGAAAAACGCTATATTATGCCCTGTTTAGGCCTTATAGAATACCATTTGCGATACCCTTGAGGCTACCTTACAGAATACCCCCTGCGTCTGATACCCTCTGAGTACCGCATAGAAAGACGAAAAGAAAACCCTTTACAATACCTTCTAGAATACCCTTGGAATGCACCATATAGAATGCCTTATAGAATAATGTGCCCACTTGGGATGAACCGCGATTGCACTCAAGCGGCCCCGATTGAACTCAATCGGCCTCGATTGAGTTGAACTCAATCGGGGGCCGGATTGAAGATTGAAGATTGCAGATTCAAGAGGAAAGTTTTCCAGGACATCTTCAATCTTAGTCTTCAATCCGGCCCGCGATCGAACTCAATCGGCCGGGATTGAACTCAATCGGGGGCCGGATTGAGGATCTTCCCAAGGAAACTTTTCCAGGAAATCTTCAATCTTCAATCATAGTTTCACCAGAACCAATGTGAGGAAACGAACCCTTTGTAGAGCCATTACCAGGGCAGCCCAAAATGTGGACCAACACACATGGTATCGGGGACGACGGCTGCGTGTGGATCAACTTCGTGCAGGTGTATCGCAGAATCCTGTTCCCAGTGAGATCCACCAGAAGCCGGAGCCCACCACACAGGTACCTCTTCATACCCGGCCCCCGAGACGCCTCAGAATCGTCTGTTGGAACTGCGGAGGTCTCAGCTCCTCCACTTACCAAGAGGTTCTTCAATGGCTCCATCAAGAAGAGAAGGCAGGCACTCCGGTCGATAGTCTCTGCTTGGCTGAGACATCCTGGAAGGACGAGCTCGAGTTTACCAGCTAGATGGCACGTGGTTCATACAGGGTGCAAAGAGAAAGCTGGACTAATGTGCATGATTCGCTCTAGCCTCGTACCGGAGGACTGTGTTCGTTACAATGTCCTGGTGGCTGGACGGCTCCTACATGTCAGACTCCTATTGGCCGTGCCTCTAGATATTCTATGCATCTATCAGATCGCATGGAATCCGGGGAAACAATCCCTGGCAGCATCGCACAAGGTGGACCAACTACTTCAGCATCGAGAAAGCTCTGGAGAAGGATGTCCCAGTGGGCGGCCCAAGTCCCTTTACGCAATGGCCTGGTGATGTTGAGAGATTACAACACATCATTGCATACCGAGTTGCCGTACTGTGGCAGTGGAGTCATTACCGGCCGAGCCCAGCCGCACCGTGACCAAGGTGAGTTCCAGGCCCTCGTCAGGCAGGTATATGGCAGGGCCCTGCATACGTGGTCTGCTTCAGGATGTTCGGCACATACCTATCTCCCTCCAGCTGCTGATGATCATACATTAGGCACGCAGATTGACTATATCATTGTGCGGTGACCCAGAGGCTCGGAAAACAAGGCCGTTTGATGCCCCTTCGTCCAGGACAGCGGTTGCAGGCATCGCCCGGTGAGTGGGCCCATCCCAATGCCTTCCAGGCCCAGGCCTCGTGTTTCTCGCCCTGCCAAACTCATTCCCGGCAAAGTCCAGAAAGCTCTACAAGACCCGCAGGTGATCCAGCAGATTTGGCAAAATACCGACCACCTTCAGGAGAACACATGTGAACCGATGAGTGACCTTGACTCGGCACTACTGGCAGGATGGCGCGGGACCAGCACAACCATACCCACTCAGCCCCTGGAGGCTGGTAGGAGCTTGGCGGAGGATGGTGAGACCTCCACCGCCCATCTTGTCAGGCAGCTGTGGCTGCTTCCGAGACCTGGCCAACCTGTCAGCGGCCCGGAGCCCTGACCCAGCTTTTGTTGCTCTATGGCAAGGATGGAGACATGTTGGAGCCCTACAGCGTACTCAACGCGAACTTCGCAAAAGAGGCCGGCGCAAGGAGATCGAACAAGTCGCTTTGGCAGTGCAGGCGGACAACGTGTTCCAAGCTGCTAAACAATTCGCCCCGAAATGCAGGCGTCGCCGACTACAACTTCGCACTCCGGAGGGCGGTCTGCAGACCCACGAGGACGAATTTCATGACATCCACACGTACTTCTTGAAGCTGTGTGCGGGTCCTCTTGCGACCCCGGACAGTCTTAGTGAGCCTCTTTTGTCTTCCAACCCGAGGAGGTGCGTACGGCTGTTCGCCGACTGCTGCCGTTGATCACGAGGCAGCTCAATCTCACCTTCAAGTCGGGACCTCTGGAGATTCCTCGCACTTGGTGCGAAAGCGAACTGGTCCTTATTCCGATGCCTCCTGGCCCCCATCGCCAAGATCACGGCTTCTATCTTAGCCTGTCGTTTGGCCCCCTACGCGGCCAGCTACCTGCAGTCCGTCCCACAATTCGCATATTTACCGCAGCGTTCCCTTGCACAAGCACTAGAACGTGCTCTCGGGCACTGCGCCGAGGTCAGGACGCTCATGGCCCAACAACGCCGAACAGCCTTTTCACGACGAGAAGGTGGGAATCGACGACTCCTAGTGGGGGGACTTCTCCTTTCACTTGATATATCACGAGCATACGATGCGGTGAGCCGGGCCACCCTGGCGAGTGCGTTGGAGGATGCAGCGGTTCCACAACCTCTCGAAGCTGAGCTTGCGCGTGCCAACGCGACATACGCAGATGACTTCCTCTACAAGTGGCGTGTGGAGTCGGGCAGCGATTTGGAGAAGGCATATTGCCAGGTGCGCTCCATTCTCACTCATCTTCAGGATCAAGGTTTGACTGCGAGCGCCTCCAAGACGGTTGTCTACCAAGGCTCAGTCGGCACTCAGAAAGTACGTGGTCGATCTCCCGGATGGGCCCCACATGCGCTTTGACATAAACGGTAAGAAGGTAGACCTGAAGATTGTCACCCAGCATGTCTATTTGGGGGTGGTCGTCAGCTATCGCAAGTTCGAAGCAGAAACTGTCAAGCATAGAATCGCGATCACCAAGGGCCAGCTTGCCCGCTTGAGGCCAATCCTTCGTTGCCGAGCTGTACCAGTTGGTCTTCGACTTCGTTTATGGAAGGCCTGTATCCCACCAAGTTTGCTCCACGGGCTAGACTGTTCTGGCCTTCCGGAAACTGAGGTGAAACAAATTTTGATGCTTCTTGTTCAACAAGCCAGGCAAGTGACCCAGTCCTACAGTGCGTGGACAAGGGAGACCAACACGGCCTTCATGGACAGGATTGAGCTGGAGCACCCGGCCAAAATCTTGGACCAGGCCATTGCTCGCAAGGAACAAGCTGACCATCAGTTCAGCCCACTCCTAAAGCCGACGGAGGTGCAGCTACAGTGGAGGCACCTGATGAGAGAGCATCTGAGCCATGCTCGGCGAAGTGAGTTTGGGGCCGGTTCCGCTCGGATTGTCCCGGTAGACCAGGTTATCCACGAGATCTTTGAGTGTGAAGAATGCAGTCAGAGATTCAGCACCCAAGCAGCCCTCAAGCGACACCAGTTCCTTCAGCACTTTGATGAAGCCCAGAAGGCTGCAAGACAAGAGGAAGTTCAGCAACAATCACAAACGTCCCACATGGAACATGCTAAGGACGGTATGCCACAGTGCAAGCACTGTCTGAAGATATTCCAGAATTGGCCGAGCTTGCATTATCATGTGAATTCCAGGAAGCAGCGGGGAGCTCAGATACATCTATCAGCAAGCCCAACCCGGACATGAACTCGCCCTGCTTTCGGATGCGGACCTAGCGGGACACTGCGATTGGCTAGCATTGGCGCAACACCGCCTCGTCAGGGCAAACCTGCATCACTGCATGGAGTGCCACCATTGGTCCCAAAAGCCCACCTATGTCAAAAGGCACATGTTGGCCAAGCATCCGGAGCTTAAGCCCACTATTGACATGTGTGCTGCCTTTGTGATGAAAAGCAACATTGGCATCTCGAGTCCTTGTCGTTTTTGCGGTGAACTCTTCCAACGCAGAGATGCGCATCTTCGATCATGTGTGGGTTTGTTCAGCGAGGGCTTTTCTCTTCTCAAGGCTGGCCAGGGGACGCTCGCTTTCTCCAGAGAATCATGACCCCACCTCCAGTGACCGAGCCGGCCGCCCTGTTGGACACGAACAAATTGACCGAGGCGACCAAGGAGCTACGCATGATGGAGTCTCTGGTTCCTCAGGGTATCCTGGGACTCCCTTCCGCGTTGAGCCTTGGCCAGTCGCAGGAGCCACACCAACCAGCCGGACGAGAGCATGGGACCGGACCCGTTCGACAGGCCGCAGAAGTGATCACGCCTGGGCAGGGAGGCCTCGGAAAAGGCCAGAGCCAGCGGCAGCAGGACAAAACATCTGGAAAGCTCTGGGGCAACAGCAACGGCTGGGGAAGCAACAACAGCTCAGGCCGCCAGACGCCTGCGAAAGGCGGGGCAAAGGGCGATCAGGTGCTGCAACAGCTGAGGTCCCGAGTGGACATGCTGACCACCCTTCTCTTGCGCGACGACAATCAGTTGGCGATAATGTGATTGGACACTGCCTTCATCTTCTTCATTCGGACCGACGTGAAGGCGAACTTGGCTACAGGCCTCTACCAGACGGGGCTCAAGTGGAAGGAGACCAAAGAGCAGAATCCCTCCCAACACGAGTCGCCGATGAGGGTGGTCCTGGCTCAGGCGATGCTCTCCACCGTGGCGGCCAGGTTCGAGAAGCTACTATCGGAGACGGAGACCAAGGCCAACGCTATCCAACTGGGTTGGCTCAACCGAGGGCATGATGGTGAACTGCATGCGATGGGACACGGAGGCCAAGAAGCATGTGGTGGACCCAGCAGGCAAAGCCATCGAGCCGAAGCAGATCCTGTCTACCTGACCAAGCTTGTGATGCTCAGCCAGGCCTTGCTCGTGATCAACCGCTTCCATGCGACGAGGCCGATGGCCATGAAATGGAATCTGCAGTGCTTCCTATGTTGCTGGATGTGGACCTACGGTCCAAGGAGGCCGATCGGGCATGGACCATTCTGTGGGAGCTCTGCGGCTCGGCGGCATGGCCAGCGGCGGGAGTCAACATGCGACCGGACCGATTGCAACGGGGACGACTAGCGCAGCGTCTGGCAGCCCTTCTCGAGAGGACCCAATGGTAGAGATGGTTCTGAGATCCAGGTGGGGCAATGAAAGCCATTACTGCTACTGTAATGCTTTGCTCAGATGTTTGATTGTGGCCTCGGCGAAGTCCGGGGGATCCTGCGGATTCTTCCCTCCACCGGTTGAGCATTTAGTTCGAGTGTTTGTGAGTGCGAAGGGCCTGCTTCATGTGTGGAGGAATCTTTTCTGGAAAACCCAGATGCAAGGCTGGACACGTCCAGCAGAGCAACATGACATAGCTGAGTTCCTTCAGTTTCTGGTCGCCAAGTACCAGGGGCTGCTGGAGTCTTTGAATGTCATTTGGATTTCCAAAGGGGCAGATTGCGAGAGTGCAAGGGGCCAGGATGGGGGTTGTTGGGTTCCTCTGTATCTGACTCCTCCTACTAGTATCTTCACTGAGGGTGGCTCAGGTACCTCTGTTCAGGAACTTGTGGACATTTGGCATCGGCAGTCGCTCATCCATGCAGCTCTCAGAAGCCCGTCCCATCTAGTTTTACAAGCTGGACGGTTCAATTTTGATACGACAACCGGCAGCGCCCGGAAGCTGCGATACTACATCAGTCCGGATTGGGTCATTCGTTTTCCGGTGTTTGTGCATGGTGCTACGGTTGCGTATGTTGACTTCCAGCTGAACTCTTTTGCGTACCACATTGGGGACTCCCCGAAGAGTGGCCACTACAGGGCTTTGGTGCTCAAGAACAGCGAGTATTATGTGTTGGATGATAATGTTTCCGCGAAGCTTTGTGATGCTTCGGAGCTTGATCTTGCTTGTCACAACTCATATGTGTTTTTCTATCATGCTGTTCACAACAGGGGAGCACCGGGTCTTGCTTTGGGTGTTCGCACCGGGGACCCATGTTAGTTTCCTCATGATGCAATCGTCATCATGGTTCTGGGATGTGGAACTCCACAGCATAGCCGGGGCCTGAGCCCTGTCCCAACTTAGCTCGCAGAAGGACGAACTTTTGCAGCGCGGAAGTGAAGTGAAGTAGTTATGTATCCACATAAAAATAAATGTATACATGTGTATGTATCTTGTTGGTGCTTCCGGGACCCGACCCGACGTTAAGCCCCAAACTCCAGAATCCAGAAGCCCGTGACATTGTGAAACCCCAAACTGGAGCGATAAAGGCTTCAGCGAAGACTGATAGAACACCTATAGAAGCATGATGTATCCGCTTGGGCGCAAAGAGTTTCACGAGAACCCTGACAGAAATCTTGTATGACGTAAAGCTTACATCGTTAAAGCCGCGCAAGTGTACTCTAAAATCACGGTGCCGGTAATGCCAAAGACTGCACAAAAGCTTTGGCAAGCAATCGCGCTAGAACAGGACGTCATGATTTTTGGATTTTTGTTGTCAACCTTCCAGTGTAGCTTATTTCGACAAGGAACGAAAACTGATTGTTTTTGGCTCTGCAAGAACCTTAAACAAATCGCCATAAATCCTAATGATTGAACGCCTGCTGAAACCCTAATGCGATCTTCATAGCCTTGACAGTACCTCCGTACAGCCAGGACCTCATGAACGTAAGTCTTCTTTGTGGAGCCGGCATAAGCGGAATCGGTGCGGCGGCGGCCAGCATGGTCCCTCGGCTGCAAAGGATGATGTTGATTGTCGACTATTGAGAAGCCTTCATAGCTTGGACTCGACAGGCTTTTAGGGTGTATTACACTGTAAGCAGGACGATGAGGAATATTCTTAATCATTCATCAAACCTGTTCAGTAGTTTGTGTTATGGCGCTCTTTCCGGGGTGGGATTTGGGGGAGAGTCAGTGTTCAGGCAATACAAGGCTTACGATTCGAGTGTTCAGGGTTTCAGCTTGTCTCGTTTTGGATTTGAGGATGTTTCCGTGTAGAGTTTAAGGTTTAAGGTATTTGGGCTTCGGGGTTTAGCTATCCAACGCCCCTCGAGAAACTCTTCGCACGTCCCTAAAGACCGGGGCGCCCGCAAAAATTAGGCCTCCTAGCCTTGAGCACAGAAACATTCAATGCGGTCTGCCATTCGGAGTGCCGTTCAGTGGCTGCCTCCATGGCGTTAGAAGGCTTCAGGGTTTAAGGATTTGGGGATATCCCCTTAAGCCTTTCGCCGCTGCAACGGGTTGTTTGAGAGTTTTGTGCTTGGCAGGGAGGGCAGCAACCGTGAGCCCTAAACCCGAAACAAGGCAGACGTTCGAGGCTTTATCATCCGTGGTTCTGGGGTGCTCGAATACACACAGCATGTTCATATCAGAGTTCTACAGGCTAGAACCTGAAGTAGGATGATTCAGGGCGGTTCAAGAGATGTGAACCGTCAGCACTCCTGTGGCCGTACTTCTGTGCTTTGAGAAGCCGTGGCATTTTGCGGCAGCAAGGCGCCTGCCGTGGCTTCCATCGTCGCCGGCTGCGATCCACCCGCCTCCCGGCAGAGCATTTAGCCGTTCGGTCTTCGCAGCAAAGTTGCTGCGATTTACAGAAGTGCCAACTCGCTCGCAGGAATTTGCCAGGTTTGATACGAATCACACTCCGACATCTAGATCAAATCCCTAGCTTCGCGCCCCTGGCGATTCATGACTCCATGAGTTTCAGCCTGTGCTCTTGTTGCAGCCAAGTTGAACATTCCGACTGGGACGGTCACGTCTACAACGACGAGCACGACCTCAACAACCACTTCCTCTACGACGAGTTCCTCCACCTCGAGTTCCTCCACGACGAGTTCCTCGACCTCGAGTTCCTCGACAACGACCGTCACGACCACCACAACCGTCACGACGACTTCATCGACCGTCACGACCACCACAACCGTGACGACTACCACGACGGTTTCGACGACTACCACATCCTTGACGAGTAGCACAACGGTGTCAACGACCTCCACGACGATTTCCTCCACCACTTCCTTGACGAGCACCACAACGGTAACAACGTCTTCTACGACAGTTTCCTCCACAACTACGATGACGACAACCATAACCTCGATAACCACAACCTCTACCAGTGCGACCGAAACAACCAGCACTTCCTCGACAGTAACCCAGACTCTTTCACCATTCGATTGTACCAAGGACATCATCCCCCTGCAGCTCATTAATCGAAACAACGGTAATAACAATTGTGCTCAAGGTTCGGATATCAAGGCCGGGAGAGTTGCAAAAAACAGCTAGTTGCCCTTTAGGCCCAAAATCTTGAACCCTCAGCCTCACCTCCTGACCCCTAAGCCTTGAACACAAGCCCTAGCCTCGCATCCATAAACCCTGAGCCGCATCCTACCCCCTGAGCGACTCAACATTGCGGACGGCACGTACACGAATTTCTGTGCGCACTTCGAAAAACAGTGCTTCTTGGAGTGAGGAGGTCAAATGAAGGGAAGCGGATCTCATCTCAGAACGGTCTCGTGAGGGAGGGGTTACGACACGTCAGAGTTTTGGCGTGGGATATTAGTATAGGGGCCTCAACAATTACCTATACTATTTTGTCGGTTCCTTATAAGTAACGTATAATGGGCCCCACAAGGGTCCCAAAACACTATTCTAATTATAAAGGCCTTTACATCACATGTTGGATGTTGTCTTGAGGCTCCAAAGGGGCCAAATAGGAGCAACCCTAATCCCTAAACCCTAAACCCCTAAACCCTGATCCCTAAACCCTAAAACCCTCAACCCCGGAAAGGGCCAATTGGGAGCAGCTCTTCGGGGGGGGGGGGGCAGTGCGGGAAGCGTTTCAGCAAGCCACTCTCCTAGGCCCTAATGCCGAGGCCTTAATAATTAGAATGCGGCCTAGGCTTCCTTTCAAAGGGGTTTATATAAGGCTTACGATAAGCAGGTGGCGATGCCAGTTTGGCGAGGGAGGGTTTTTTACCCAATCCTGGCAAGAGAAACTCGCCGGCGAGCTCTTCGAGCACTGGGCTTCAGCAATCTGCCAGACCCAGCTGTCGGGCATGCTGTATGTATATGTGTATATATATATATATATATATAGAAGTATATCTATATATATATATGTATACCTATATGTATATATATATATATATATACCTTTACATATATGTATATATGCCCTGAACGCAAGACAATCCACATGCAAAGCCTCAAACTGTACGCTTCGAGAGTCAAGCTTTGCGTCTTGCTGGCTTTCCAACTTTCAAGCACTTCGTGCTCCAAAAAATCGATCTCTAAAACGTTGAAGCCTGCCTTACAATGTTTCGAAATATCGTGGTTTCAACCATCTATTTGTTCGAACTTTGCAGTTTCAAGAAGTTGCAACTTCACAACTCTCAAACCTTCCAAGGTGCAACCTAGGGCTCATCAAATTCCAAAACCGCGCGTGTTCTAAAATTCAATAGGTTCAAGCTTTCGCATTTCAATCTCTTTACTCGCCAGACATGCAATCTTTTCAATCTCCCCAATCTCGCCCTCCGTGTGATGCGTTCAAACCTTCGGTTATGCGAGTTCTAACATCCCTACTCTACTCGTGACACCTGTCTTAGTTTCGTCTGGTTTCTTGCAGCCTGATTGGGGTGCCATGCGCAAGAAGTACCCTGATTTAGAGAAGCATCCACGTAGAATCCATGGGATCCAAGCCTTTCTTTCACGTCCTGTTTGGGACCAGGTCACTAGATGCAGGCGTGTTATGACAGGGTTTTTTGAACGCCGCATGAAAATTCCTTGCTCGATGAGCTTCGTTAATCGGACTCTTTCGTAAGGGATGTCAAAGTGGAGTCCGAGTTAGATAAGGCTTCAATGCCTGTGGCTTGAACCCCGAAGACAACTTCATCTACTGCGTCGAGAAGGGCGGAGACAACCTCATGCGCCTCGACGCCCGGGTCGCAAGTGGAAGGGCTTTCGGCTGTTATCTATCGTATATTGTCCATTGTATATTACACAGTCTAAAAAATCAAGCACGCGCAGCTGCCAAGCACACGTCACTCGGGGGTTGTATTGAGCACTTGTGAAAGCATATGCAGACTTTCACGAGCCTTTGCAGCACAGGAGCTTGAATCACTGATTTCGTATTCCCGACAGTTCAACGAGCCTGAAACCATCTGAAGAAGTAGGTATATAGACTGGCTGATGCCTATAAATCTTAAACTCGCAATACGCCCACAACCCTAAACCCTAATCCCCAAAGTCTAAAGCCTAAAGCCTTAACCCTCACCCTAAAACCTAAAGTCTAAAGCCTAAAGCCTAAATCCCCTAAAAGCAAGGATTGCGGAGGAGGGCAGTCCTGCTATCTGGGCAAAATCGGGAAGACCTTTTCGGCCAACTTTGATCCCACCACCAAGGAGCCGCAGCTAAAGTCGGTATCAGTTTGGTTACTTGGTCTTAGGGTAGAGGGTATTTGAGTATTTGGGTTTGGGGTGCTCAGGTGTCAGGATGTAAACCTTGTTCTGATGCTGTGCATGACATGTGCTACCGCAGCCCCTTCGGTGGTCAAAAGAAGTGCGAGATACCAGGGTTCTAACGGGACCCGTAACCCTTTCATGGTAGCGGAGCCCGGACCCAAGGAGGTCTAGGGCTCGACTCCTGCGGGCTGCACCGCGGAGTCGCTCCTGCGGGTTGCCCCGCAGAGCAAGCTCACTGCGGGTAGCGCCCGCGTGAGCAGAGAGGGCCTCGCGGGGATCCCCGCAGGCCCAGCTGCCTGGCCGTAGCAGCCACGTCGAAGAAAAGAGGAAAGAGAAGCAGGGACGCCCAGGAGCGGAGACAAAACCGCGGGCAGGCTCGGCGCTTAGCGGCGGGCCAAGAAAGAGAAGAAGAACAAGCCGCCTCTTCCCAGGCCCAGGGAAAGGCTCGAGGCAAGGGGCCGTCGCGGAGAGCGGTGCTGACCTACAATCCTGCGGAAGCCCTTAGGACGGCCCGAGCGAAGTCGAAGAGCAGTTCCCGAGGACCTTCGGCAAAAGCCTGCGCGAAGGACGCAGCAAAGGCTGCTGGGCTCCTGGCTGCGCGTCGCATCTTGGAGCGGCAGCACCAGGAGGAGGTAAGACTCATCCAGGCAGGTGAGCCCCCTCTTAGGCCACTGAGGCTGGTGCCGGGACGAAGCGGCCAGCCTAGGCCCAGGCCCAAAGCTCGGAAGACAAAGAGCACAAGGGTCCGGCTGGCTTCAATGCCTCGAGAGGTCCAAGCGGCCGAGGACTTTTTGCTGCTGGAAGCAGCTGTGAAGGATTGGAAAAGGTCCAGCTTCGAGGGCAGGAGGCGCTCCGACCCAGGTTGCCAAAGGGCTCGCTGGGCCAGGCGACCCTTGCCTTTGGGCTGGACGGGGCGTGCAGCTCGTGCGACGAGCGCACCAAGGCCAATCGGCCTTTGGTGCGGAAGTGGGTCCTCAACCGCTTTTCCACAGCGAGCTTGAAAGCAAGCCAACGCGAGCAAAGCCGCACGGCTTCTGGCTGCCCGGAGGCAGCAGGAGGAGGAAGAGGAAGAAGATGAATGCGGGCCAGATGAAGATGGGTCAGGTCCCGACTGGAGCCCAGATGGCGGGCCAGGTTCCAATGACCCAAGAGGAGGCGCAGGATCTGCACCGGCTGCTGTTGCAGCAGTCTGAGCACCTGCAGGTGCTCACGCAAAGGCTCCAGGCCCAGAGATCGTGCAGCTCCGTGGGAGCCACGATCCTTTCCGGCAGGTGTCAATAAACACACCTGTGCCGGAGGTGCGGGTGGCCCCGCCCACAGACACCACGAGTGTGGTGGACCTTCGGCAGCTGGGCAAGCCGGACACTTTCAAGGGAGAAGCCCATGAGTTCTCAGACTGGGCCTTCATATTGAAAAGTTATCTGGCGTTTATCAGCCCGGAATACGTCCAGCTGCTCGACCGAGCAGAACAGAATAGGAGCCCAATGCCTAACAGGGCATTGAGTGCCGGGGACAGGGCGTTGAGCACCCGATTTTACTGTATATTAGTAATACTCACGCGCAACCGTCCCTTGGACGTGCTTTACAACGCAGGCGTTGGAGAAGGAATAGATGGCTACAGGCTGCTTTGGCAAGAATACAGCCCGAAAGTAGCCAGCCGATTCGTCGGCAGCCTTTCCGTTCTCCTGGGAACCAAGTTCGGCCAGGACTTTGAAGGCGAGCTTGCTGCGTTTTAGCGGTCCCTTCGGCAGTTTGAGTCTGAGTCCGGAAAGCAGATTGATGAAGAGTTTCTGCTTGGTGTTATCATCAACGGGCTCACGGACCAGTCGCTGCGGGACCACGTGATCCGGAACGCCGCCCGCCTGACTACTTACTCCCAAGTGAAGGCGCAGTTGCTGGAGATTGCTCGGACCAACCGGGTGATACAGCAGCTACCCCAGCCGATGGACACCGGCAACGGTGTCGAAGGAGGAGTACGACAATCACATGATCACTCATCTCCCCTTCAGGAGCTGGTGCGATCACTGTGTGAGAGGCAAGAGCAGGGAGGACGACCACCCTGCGAGGCTGTCTGAGCCACTCGACGTGGCAAAGCTTCCGAGAAGGACCCCACCACGGTGGAAGAGCTTAAGCAGCCTAAGGACGAGCAGGAGGGCGCCATACCGGTGCTCATGGTCTACGACCACAAGTCTGGGGCCACTTTCTCAGGAGTGGTCAACAAGGGGGTCGGGGTTGGCCATCGTCACCGAGGCTCTTAAGTTTTGTGGTCGCCAGAAAGTGGTGATCATGTCGGACGGCGAGAGATCGATCAAGTCGTTGGCCGAAGCTGCGGCCAAGAGCTGGGGAAAGGAAGCTGCGCTTCAGACCTCGGCCAAGGGATCCCATCAGTCCAACGGGGCTGTTGAGCGAAGTTGAGCGAGCGATCCTGGAACACGCGAAACAGGTGAGGACTGTACCCAATGCATTTGAGATGCGTTTTGGCATCAAAGTGCAGGTTGAGGACCAGTACTTTCCTTGGTTGGTCCGCCACAGCTCGTGGCTGATCTCTCGCTTCCTTGTCAAAAGCGACGGCAAGACGCCGTACGAGCGCCTTCGTGGGCGCGAGTACCGAGGCGAGGCGGTGGAGCCTTTTGAGGTTGTTCACTACAAGCTGGAGGCAGGGAAGATGGAGCCTAAGACTGCTGTGGGAGAGCATCTGGTCGGGACACCTCAAAAGATCCGTCGTTGTAGGAGCTGCTACCGGAGAGCGGAAGGCAAGAGCTGGGACAAAGCGATCCTGGACGGATGAAGGGCACGCCTTGGCAACAAAAGCATGACCCAACAGCGGTGCGGGGGCAGCCGCCTACACCTGGTAGGCCAGGACGCCGGGGTGTTTACATCACCTTAGAGCATCAGATCAAGCACGGTGCTACTCCAGGGTGGCCAGGGTGCCACACTGTGTACGGTGACAACCCAAACCCACACAGCCCAGAGTGCAGAGCTAGGTTTGAGAAGCTTCTGGGAAAGGCTGTGAACCCACAGCCTGGCACTTGGAGGCTGCACCTCCCGCGGGTGACTCTCTATAGGTCGCGGCGGACAGGACGCGGGATTCTGCCAAGCGGGCGAGAACCAAGCGCGCAGAAGCAGCAGAGGCTGCTTCTGGAGGAACCTGGGAGGAACTCCCAGAACAGAAGGAGCCCAGAGCTCAAGCAGTGGACTGCGCAGGCCTGCTGCGGAGGACACTGCAGCTGCGGCGGGGACCAAGCGCCGCAAGGAGGCTGAGGCCAAGGGCCAGAAGCGAGAAGCTGAGACTCCTCAACGCTCCCTCGAGGAAGCGGCTGTTGAGGATGTCACCCTCCAAGAGCTTATCGGAGGCATGCCTACGCTGCACGAGGTAGGCCCGATAGCTGGTCACCCCGAGACTGGGAAGCTCCAAGCTGCGTGGGACGAGCGCACTGGAGAGCCTCTTCCGTTGGAGAAGGTTCGCAAGGCCAGGGGCCGATGAGATCTCGGTGGGTCGACGGCTGGAAAGCCCTTCCTGACGAGCCTAAGGGAGTGCGTAGGTGTGTGGCCAGCGAGACGACGTGTTCTCAGGCACCCCGCCTCTGAAGGCACACCGGATCGTGGTGAGCGCTGCTGCCACGTCCAAGAAAGGAAGAACAGCAAGGCGGCTCTTGATAGCCCGCTACGACGTTTCAGTTGCTTTCTTCCACGCCCCGGCGACAGGAAAGATCGCCGTGGTCCCTCCTAAGGACCTGGACCACTGGTCCCTGCTTAAACCAATGAACGGGACGCGCGAGGCCAGCAAGCAGTGGGCCAAGCGTATCTTAACCGTCATATGCAAAGCAGGGTTCTTGGAAGTCGCTTCAGTGCCCGGGCTCTTCTACCATTCCGAGTGGGACGTGAGACTTTCGTGTCACGGAGATGACTTCTTGGCAGAAGGAGAAGCCCAGGACCTAGACAAGCTTGACGAGGTCATGCTTGCCAACTTTGAGACCAAAGTGCTGCCCTGCTCAGGTGACCCCGAAAGCGGCGGTGAGGTCACAAGTGGCAAGCATCTGGGCAGGACCATCTCATGGTCGAAGGCCGGGTACACTTGGGAGAGCGACGACAAGTACAGCCGTACTTTGGTCAAAGAGTTTGGCCTGGAAGGAGCTAACGGCGTGGACTCGCCAAGCAGCTCTGACACTGGCAAGGGCCAGAGAAACTGTGACCAGCTTCTGGACTCACAGGACGCCGCTGAGTTCCGCAAGCTGACGGGGACAGCTCTGTACCTCAGCTTGGACCGGCCCAGCATACAGTACGCAGTATCTGATATTGCGTCGGGGATGGCTAAGCCAACCATCCTGCATATGCTGAAGCTGAAGCGGCTAGCCCGGTACCTTCTCAAGCCTCCGCGTGAGATATGGGAGTTTGAGTACCAGGAGACACCAAGCAGTGTCTGTGTGATGAGCGACAGCGATTGGGCGACCTGTAAGACCTCAAGGAAGTCCATGAGCTCATCCATGGAGCACTTCGGGGCACATCTGATCGATGCCTTTTGCGCGCGCCAATCCGTGGTGGCACTGTCGAGTGGAGAGGCAGAGTTCTATGCCCTCACCCGATCAGCTGCCATAGGCCGCATGACCAAGCAGATCTGGGATGTGATCGGATTCCCGGGTTTGCCCCGCGTCGTCAAGACCGACAGCACGGCGGCCAAGGGCATAGCCAGCAGGAAAGGAGTAGGGCGTGTCAAACACCTAGACCTTCGAGACCTTTGGGTGCAAGACCTAGTCGCCAGAGGAGACCTCAAGGTCGAGAAGGAGCCCACGGACACGAACCGGGCTGACCTAGGCACCAAGCCCCTGAGTGGTCAGAGGATCACAGAACTCCTGAAGCTGATGCCGCTACACCGAAGGGGTTTAGCAGCGGCGTTGGTTGCTGGATGCCTGAAAGTTGCAAGAGCCCAAGAAGAAGAGGAGCTAGACTGGTTCCTAGTGTACCTAGTGATGGTGCACCTCTACCTTCTTTGGTGCATCTTCAGATGCATCTTCGGGCGTCTCAGCCGACGGAACCAGAAGCCAGTCACCCACGAGGTGGGGACCTGCACCAGTGAGGACTGGAACGAGAGAAAGCCTTATCTATCGCCACCGACCATCGGCGAGTCAGGGCATGGAGGGGCCAGCTCTTCAAGCCAAGGCCCTGCTGCCACACCTGTGGCAACGAAGGCTCCACCACAGGCGGTTCCTACTGAGAGGAACGTGAGAGAAAGGAGACCTCGAGAGACCGACCCTGTCTACCGGACAGTGAGCGGCCAACGGTTTCACAAGAACAGCTGCGGTGATCTCAACCACGCTAGGCGTATGAGACCCGGCAGTGTCACACAGGTGCCCAGGCATGTGGCTATCTCAAGTGGCTACGCGCCATGTGGGAACTGTGGAGGTTGAATTCGTTTGAAGCTTCGAAGCCTGAGCAATGCTCGGCTAGCAGGTCCGTCCTGCTTATATGGACAGAATCCTGAAGGGAATCGACCATGGAGGGGTGTCAGGATGTAAAGCTTATTCTGATGCTGTGCATGACATGTGCTACCGCAGCCCCTTCGGTGGTCAAAAGAAGTGCGAGATAGCAGGGTTTTAAAGGGACCCCTAACCCTTTCATCAGGGCTTGAGTTTAGGTATGCAGATTTCCAAGTTGTCTTTTCGGTCACTCCTTTCTCTGAGTGTTGCTCATTAACGCAGGTTGGACTTGACACTAAGGTTGTGAGACTTTCGCACAGGGCTTCCGAGATGCATCGCCCCCAAAGCTAAGCAAAACCTGGGCCGTGTACCCACCAAGGACTACGTGATGACCACTCAGAACGAGTTTGTCATAGCGGATAACCCGAAAGACCTGGGTTGCCTTGCTGCTCCTTCGAATGTGCCAGTGCCTTGGTTTAGGGTTTAGGGTTTACAGTTTTCAGGCTTTTTTTTTGGAGTTGGGGGGGTGGGTTTCGGGTGTTGGGCTTTTAAGGCGTAGGCAGTAAGTTACGGCGGCCGTAAGGGCTTAGGTACAAGCTCTCCGAGATGCGACTGGGCCCTCGCATAAGATGCCAGAAGCTTCAGTCAAACGGGAAAAAGGAAGGACCCTTAATGGGGACCCCTGCCCTATAGTGGGCTATATAATGGGTATATAATAGCTATATTAAGGGCATATACCTAGGGGTCCGTATTGAGGGTCCCTCCTTTTACCCTTGGATTCAGTCGTCGAATCATGAAGCCATAGGATACAGCAGACTTCCAGATTGCGAGAGAGCCGACAATTGCATAGCGCCGTAGTACCCTAAATAGTAGGATTCTTATTACAAGGACCCCAAACAAGGTTCCCCACGTATGCGGAAACCCCCAATTCCTGCAGGTTCCTGGCAGGCAGGTCATCAGACAGAGCGTGACAGACAGTACCGATGCGGACTTGATGCCTGGCCAACACTTGTTTCTGTAGCCGCGTGCCACCTAAGTCCTAAACCCTAAACCCTATAACCCTATAACCTTATAACCCTATAACCCTATAACCCTGAATGCAAACGCCAGGGCCTGAGCTTCTGAGTCGGGGATTCCTGTGGGTCTCGGTGCTCGGAGCCCTGGCTTCGGGCATTGGACGGCGATCTCCGTATGATTAGCGATGCAGTGAGGATGCAATGGGAGCTTCCGAAAAGTAGGGGTACCTTATTTGGGGTCCTTATAATAAGAATCCTACTATTTAGGGTACTGTATTAAGGGTCCCCCATTTTCGGAAACCCCCCCCATTGCACAAAAGACATAGATCTATTCATTTGCCCCCATGTAGGGTTCAGGAACTTGATGATCTGGTTTCCGCACCTGAAAGCAGAAGCTGCTGACCTAGCTTTGATGACAGACCGAGCCACACCTGGGAAAAGAAATGCGAGCCACACCTACTGTAGCACTTAGGGGAAAATAAAGGCTCTTTGTGCATAACTTTCACAACATTTTGGCCGTGCCAGCTTACTATAGGGGCCTAAATCTTCCTCCTATACTATTTTGGGGGTTCCTGATTAGAATCCTAATGTAGTATGCCCCCAAACCCCAGTACACTCATTAAGGCCCGTACATAGATCCCTTACACAATCCTTAAAGTAGCCCAGAAAGACCCCTTTGAAGGGAACCCCTATTCCAATAACTAAGGCCCCTGCATTACCCCGAAGAGTTGGAGTCTCGTCACACCACCATGGGGTTTGCAAAAGCACTGACTTGACGTATTGAAAGGGTTGGGTCGTCCACAAGTCATCCGACGCGAAGTTGCGAAACGCTGAACGTGGACGGTGCGATAGATGGTCTCATCATCATCATCGTCATTCCAAGCACCGTCACCACCACCAGCACCACCACCACCACCACCACCATCATCATCATCATCATCATCATCATCACTCTTGCAATGTCGGAGACTCAAGCGTCAGAATTCGGTGCGGGCTTCCAAAAAGCCGGAGTCCTGTTTAAGAAGGATCACATCGTAAGCTCTTCTAGGTGGCTTCCTTTCCTAAACGGCACCATGCTAAAAGGACATCTGGAATCCCACACCCTGTAGGTGGTTAACTAATTCCTCAGTCACAGTTGAGGGTTTTAGGGTTTAGGGATTAGGTTGTTGGGTTTAGGGATTAGGTTGTTGGGTTTAGGGAAATGGGTTTAGGGATTAGGGTTTTGGGGTTTGGGGTTTCGGGTTTAGGGTTAGGGATTACGGTTCGCTAGAACACCGAGGATGGTGACAGACATGACCCAATTTGGCATCACTGGCTTGCCCAACGTGGGCCCATCGTGGGTGGTGACGTGCGAGAAGCTTGGTCCTGGCGGAGAAGACTTCTCTGTTTCAGGGTTTCCGATTGAGGGTTTCGGGAAAATTGAGCCGTGAACACGAAGACTTCTGGGTTTAGGTGGTTATTGAGCTCCGTGCTTGGTGGTTGGGTGGAGTTGCAGGGGTCGGGATGCGTTGCATTTCTAGCCTTTTATGTAAGCTGGGCCGCAGAACTGCTTTGTACAGTTTTGAGTCGGGAGCCGGCAGCTGATCTTGATTCTGGTGCAACCGCACGGCCCATGTTTTTTCGGCCAGTGCTTTGACGACTACGTTTATGCTGGTGGCGGGGCCAGTTCACGGAACCGGGCCCGTGCGCAGCAAGCCTGGCCATGGCGGTTAGACCTGAGCTTGAGAAAGCCGGATTCTTCGTGCACAGTGGTTACGTTCAGCCTGCTATGAACTGGAGCTTCGTGCAACAGCTAAGTTCCACGCAACGAAGGCACAAGATATCTTCTATTGCGTAACACAGCTTCTCGAACCCCTGCTGGAGGCGCCTGCATCGTAGCTCAAGGGTTTTTAGGGGGCGATATTTTGCGGCCCCGCGATGTGATCCAGCACGTCGTCAGTCAACAGATCCAAAAGAACTCTTGCTTGTTGGCTATTCTTTTTGGGATCAGGATTACAACGAAAGGCTTGTGCCAGCTGCTGAAATGCTTACCGTACATTGCCGAAGTCGGTCAGCATGGCGGGCAGAAGCGAGTCGGGAAAGACAAGGCCGAGCCGGGATCTGCAGACCAGTCGGAAGAAATGGGAGTGGGAGTCAGGCAAGGATCCGGAGTCGAGGGAGCCTCCGGATCGATATCCGGCACGGGCTCCAGGACTTAAATCGGCTGGGCTGGATAAGCCCTTGAAGGCACGTCTGCTTCTGCGAGATCAGTCGTATGTCATAAGACTGGAGCACGACATTTTCTTTCTGAAACCAGGGTTCTGAGATTCCGCAGTGTTCACTCCTGTCAAGTAATGGGCTTGCCACTAGCGCTCAGAAATTGGGATTTTGTGAGCCGGCTAGTCCTTTCAGGATTGTGGGCTTTGGAAAGCCTTCAAGCATCTTTTAGGATTTGGTGGATGCAGCACCGCTCCTTTTCGGATATTGTCTCGACTCCCGTGTTACCGCCTGAAAGTTTCACTTGTAATTTTTCGTGAACCCATCACTCCATTTAGGACTTGGTTTTCCTGATCCGTCACTCCTTGCATTTGGTGTATTGATTGGTTGTTGGGGTAGCAGCTATTCGTTCTAGGGCTGTTGCATTCTGCAGAACTCACTCATGCCTTTAGGGCATTGGTCATGCCACGCATGCTTGCATTGTTAGCCTCTGATTCTTCCTGTCATCGTAGTGACTCTTCTTGGAGATGGCTCTTCGCAGCCACGCGCTGCTGCTGATGTTTTGGGTTTTGGGGTAACGCTCTGCCCTTCTGCCAGTTCTGATTCTGGGTTTTGGATTTGCAATTGGCCACCATGGTATCCTATTGGGTTTGGTTCTTTCGTGAGCAAGGCCCAAGCAGGGACCACGAGCAGTTCATGCAGGCACGATGCTGCTACCTTAGCTCCAAGTATCCGGGGGTCCGAAAGGTCATGCGTCGCATGCTGTTGTAGCAGCGACGGGCAGTAGCTTTCTCATCCTCAGGCCACGGCATCTAGGCACGCAAAGACCAGGGGCAAGACTTCTGATTAGACTCGAGTCGGGAATGGGAGATGCAGCCATGACGGTTGGCGGAAGCAAGAGTGAATACTTCTAGTGTATTGCAGCTGCACAGCATGCAGGAGTCTTCCATATGTTCGGTGTCCGCTGAATTGTTCACCCTGGTGCTGGCGAAGCAACTTGTCTCGCGTAGTAGGGATCCACAACTGGCCGAACTCAGATCCAGCCATTTTAGCCTTCGTCAGGGCGTCGCTCATAATGACTTTTGCCGTTCTTTGCAACAAAGTGGACGATGAGGCGAATCTCAACGCATGGATGCCACAGTGCTGATCCTGGGGAGCACCGCGGCCGGATTGGGTGAAACCCAAGCAACTTGCAAGACTGCTTGACCGCCATTCCTGGTGACCTGGTGGTTTCCGAAGAGCTAGGTCGGACGCACAGATAATGATCAAAGGTGGGAAGCGTAGGGATGCAGCGGTACGGTTGTTATCGACCCCTGCTCCTATGAGACTTGACGGCGTCGAAGCAAGTCGCCTGAACTGTTCGAGCAGGTCCTTCGACCTGGAGTATATCGGGACCGGTTGATGCAATGGCGCAAGATAGACGAAAGAAGCACGCACCGCTAAGAAGGGAACAAAAACAGGAGCGACGACGGGGAGGCTATGACCACAACGGGCGCAAACCCATCGGGCCCGGTTCGCGAGCGATGTGCCGCCAAAAGGCGCGCCAATTTAAGACCTCTTCAAGGTCGACGTTGACCCGAATCTTTCAGAGTGAGATTGCACTAACGTTTTTGACCACAAGGCAAGCCATACTCAGGAAGGAAGCTTTCTCGGACAGCCCCTGACCGCAGTTTTTGGGGCTAGACGGCTCTAGAGTACTTTTCTAGGGCTCCCGATGGCGGAAGAAGGATCTTGGCAGCATCCCGAAACAAGTATTGGTGACTTCATCTCATGCGTTATCACGTGTGCAAGCCATGCATTAGGAAGAAGTTGCGTCTATCATTGAGCTTCATAGGCGTGAAAGCGCAAGACAAGAGCTACTTCGCTGGCTACGTTGAGCCTTTTGGCATCAGATGATGGCAGATCCGCGACATCAGTTGTGCTGCACGGCGAAAAAGGAGGGCTTTCTCGGTCTTACCTTACAGGCCGAAGCCTGCACTTGTCGAAACGGCATCGAAGAAGGCGGCCAGCTGCGAGTCGTGTTTGCAAGTTCGACTGCAAGAGGTGGGAGGGTAGCTCCAAGGTCTGCATGACACAAGTTTGGTTTCCGGATTGCCCTCGATACGCTCGCTCCGCAGGAAAACAAACGACCCAGCTTGGCGCTCCGTCCTTGTGTGAGCCAGGAGAAAACGATGCAGCGATTTATATTGCTTGGGCGTGTCCGTGAGCTGACGGAGGGTTCCGTGTAGTATTAGCAAACCCGATGGCGCAGGTCATGAAGGGTAGAGGAATGTAGAGAAGCTGGCTGAGCATCTCAGCAGTGTTTCACCGGACATGGTCTGAGCATAGCAGTTCGACATCAAGCAAAAGGCAAACTAACTGAACTTCAATGCCTGCTGTCCTTGTGGATTCGATGAAACGGACGGCGCCGTCCGGGCTTGCGCACCATGTTTCTACAGAAGCAGATTGCTCAAGTTGAAACCCTGCCACGTACTTCTATCTGTTTTGAGTCGGGGTCCGGTACCTAACCTTGGCTGCTTGTGCGACCGCGGGGCACTGAGTCTTGAAGGGCAACGTCTCAAAGAAGGAACAAGATTCGTCTTCACGTAGGGTTTGTAACTTGGGTTAACGGGATTAAGCCGACAACTAGGTACCTAATTGTTTGGGATCATTTGAAAGATTTTTACTTAGAACGGAACCCTACCAAGACAATTGGGGGTGTTGAGGTCGACACCTTTAGAAAAGAGCCTGCAAGAAGCACTATGATGTGGTAGGGCCAAAGTTCACGTGAATCACGTTGATCATTTTGCGAAACAGCTCGCCGGAAACTAGTCATGTAGTTATCCGGTCATCATGCACGGAAAGAGCATCCCCCAGCTCATGTTGCAAGGAAAGGTGCTGATTACGCGGCGAACGATCCGAGTAATCCAGGAAATCGGGTGTACATCCAGAGTCTGAACGATCCTACTGTGTTCTACGTCTTGCACCTTGGCTTCGTTTTTGTGGTTAAGTTTAGGTATTTGCGGAAGCCCCGACGCTCTCTGCTAGGCTGGACTTGGCTGGGCTGGACTGGAATGGCCTAAATCCCGGCTAGACGAGACCAGACAACACCAGACGAGACCAGACCAGGCGAGACCAGATGCTACACGGGGCAAGACGAGACCAGATGAGATCAGACGAGACCAGGCAACACCTGACGACACCAGACGAGACCACCTGAAGACCAGATGAGGAGACAAGAGTACACAAAATTAGACAAAGTTTTGTTAGACTAGGCTAGATACAGTGGACTGGATTGAATTGCATTAGTCACAATTAGACTTTAGACTGGATAAACCAGACAGTCGAGTACATAAATCCGTTTGCCAAAGTAGCTTTAAGTTCAATGCTAGGACCCCGAGCCCGATAGTAAATGAGGACGAAAGACTGATCCGAGGCTCATGGTCCAGAGCGGCGTTCCAATCCCCTCGAACTTGGGCGGGGCTTCCGGAGCGCAGTGGCAGTTCGGTACGGAGCTCTTTTGCGCCTCGCCAAATGCTCCAATGCCGATCACGAGTTATCGAAATTCGGTTTGCACGCGTTGAAGTTCTGAAGTTTTAGGGTCTGGCATCTGCAAGGATGTTTGATGCATCCGATCAACTATTGTTGTTGTTGATGATGTTAATGTTGCTGAATGTCACTAGGGCTACATGCGGATTTCGGGTCCTTGTGTGATCTGCTGGTGGTCTATCTGTTAATTGGCTTCAGCATCTTTCAGCATCTTTGCAGCTTCCAGATATGTTTGTCATGTTCATGAAAGTTTGTGGACATGTTCAATGAAACTGGATTGCAGTGATGTGACGCTTGACTTTGATTATCTCTGTGCCGCATTGCCTATACCATTACTCCTGACCTGTTCGATGCATGTCCGAAGGTCAGATGTAATATTTCCAGCGAAGGGCCTGCGAATTTCAGCGTGTCCAGGAAGTCCCCCCGGAAGAGCCTTGTTTTAGTCTTCTTGATGATGTGGCTCCCTTGCGCAGCCCAGGTGCCTACAACGATCCGACCATCAGTGCATCACCTTATAACGGTGGGGTGTGGGACTTGAGCTTGAGCAGCATTACCCTCGTGCCCTGGCAACTTTTCACCACATACCTCAACCTTAAGCCCTCTTATACCACACTAGCATACCCTAACCTGACCCAAGAAGGCACGCCTGCTCTAAGGGCTTCGAGGTAAGATCCTGGGGCCTTGCCAAGGATTCGCTGCTCTTTCCTCCGAATGCCGGCACGATTGAAGTCACGAGAGTGAGCGACTCCGAGAAGACGAACTCCAATGACGGCCTGAACTGCTTCCCGGCACATGGGAGTTTGCGAAAATGAGGGGTACCTTATTTTGGTGTCCTTATAATAAGGATCCCACTATATAGGGTACTATATGCTTGGAAGTTCGGGGATTGATTAGAGTATTCAGGGCGTATAGAGTACGTAGAATCCATAATGCGCTGTTTGATACCCAGTGCACCGCTCATGTTTTACAGTACACATGGACCCGGGAGTTTGCCGTGAGACCACCGCAGTGTGCGCGTTTTTCCGCTTGTGATTCGCTCCTACAGGTGGGAGTTTCCGAAAATGGGGAACCCTAGTATACTACGCTAAATAGTAGGATCCTTATTGTAAGGCCCCCACATAGAGTACCCAATTTTCGGAAACCCCCATGTTGCACTCTAATCACCAGGCATCCTCAAGCCCTGAACGGTAAACCCCAATCCCACTACAAGAGATCGCTTGCTTTAGAAGCCTAAATGCTGAAACTTGAAGCGGTGTAGGGTTTAGGGTTTCGGGCCTCGGGCCATCTAGGTATAGGGTCTCCTGCGCTGGAAACAGTGTCATCTTGACGCAGTGTGCGGTCTCGGGTGTGCCCCATACGAGCACATTGCATTGGAAGGCCCCAAAGCGCACACTATAGTGATGTATGCTACAGTGTGATCTTGTGGTTTCAGCATAGATCCCAAACCCTAAACCCTAAACCCCTAAACCCCTAAACCCCTAAACCCCTAAACCCTAAACCCTAAACCCCCTAAACCCTAAACCCTAAACCCCCTAAACCCTAAACCCTAAACCCTAAACCTTTCAGCATCCTCTAGGGTCCCACCTCAGTCTGAAGCTCAGAAGCGTCTACTTGGAGGTTCCTTGTACCACAAGGATTCCTTTAAGGGTTCTATAACTAGGATGCCCAGTAGTACCCTTATTCTCTTTTTGTAGTCCTAGGTTCCTTATAAAGCTACCCAATACCAAAAAGAGAGGCCTTTTTATTCTTAGGTTACTGGGTATCCTAGATAAGGTTTATAGCTCAAGGGTCCATCTACACCCAACTAGGAGGGACGGGGGAGTTTCCGAAAATAGGGGACCCTTATATAGTTCCCTAAATAGTAGGATCCTTATTATAAGGACCCCAAAATAAGGTACCCCAATTTTCGGAAACTCCCAAATCGTGAGTAAACGTCAGCCCCCAAACAATCCCAAACCCTACACCCCGAAACCCTGAACACGAGAGAAAAACACCCTGAACACAAAAGAAAAAAGACTTGAACCCTAAACCACCAAACCGTAAATTTCGATACCCCCCGGAACCATCTGCTAAAAGCCCTAAGCTTCAATCCCTAAACCTTAAAAGCCCTACATCCTCAACTGCTCCACTCACCGCCCCAGACCCTAAACCGGAAACCCTGAACCATGAACCCTAAAGCCTAGAAACATTCATAACAACAACCCAGACCCCCGGGAGGATCCAAAAAGTAGATCCCTTAATGGGGGTTCCTATAAAGTACCCTTAGTAGTATACGGCACCAAATTAGGGGATCTACTTTCTAGATCCTGCAGAGGATCCGTGAAAGGCCTTGCTAAAAGCCAGGTTGAAGATATTGGAGCCTCTTGAATCCCCTCTATAACACCCTTACATAATAATGCTATCGATCCCTTGGTGCAGCCGTTGATGGAACCCCTGAAGGAAGCCTCAGCTTAACCTCAAAGAACCCTACCTTTTTCCTGGGCTTCTATCAAGAACTCATAATTTAGGGAACCCTGAAAAGCGAAGACTCCTTTTTGTACCCTAAGCCCTGAACCCTAAACCCTAAACCCTAAACCCTAAACCCTGAACTCTAAACCCTGAACCCTGAACCCACCTAAGGAAGCCTAAGCTCCATCGCCAAGGCATCGAGGGAGGCAGCCCCTTCACCACCCCCACCCCATAACGACGCGTAGCGCCGGCAAGGGCGCGGAAAGGCAGATCCAGGGGGGCTTCAGGGTTTGGGGCGTTAGGGTTTAGGGCTTCAGGGTTTGGGGTTTAGGGTTCAGGGTTTAATTTTAATGTAGGAACCTGATTAATAAACCTTGGGCCTTTGTTAGGGCGCCTTATATGAATCCTAGTATTTTGGGATTATAGGCCCAGGGTTTCTTTCCTACATCAGGGTTGATCTGAACCTACCAAAACCTACTTTTTTTGTAGGGTTTTCATCATTTCCATATTGGCATGCCTGAGGGTTTAGGGTTCAGGGTTTAATGTTGAGGGTGTACCTGAACCCTAAAGCCTACGTTTTTAGGGTTCCTTCTATAAGTCCTGAGAAAGGTGCAGGTAGGGTTTAGGTTTTGTTTGGAGTGTCCGGTTGAGGGGTTTCTGACCTGTTGGAGAAGTCAGGGTTCTCAGTGTTGACTTTTTTTTGTTTTTTCCGTGGGTGTGTGGCTCGTCACAAGACAATAAATCGCGGGTTCTTGTCAAACTAGAAGGAGCCTAGACTGAATTAAAGTAATGGGACTGTCACTAAGCCCTTGCCCTAAATCATACACCCTACACAAGACAAAGCAGACCCTATTCTATCACGACTTAGTTGAGGATATTGCATCGGCGTAAGTAGGGGGCTTGGGGTTTGCAGCACCAGCGACTTAACCAGGTCCAAACCCTTTAGGGTTTAGGGTTTAGGGTTGTCTTTTAGGGGAGTCTCTGGGGAGGATTTTAACTCAGGTCTTTGTATGCAAAAAGCCTGCTATGTAAAGACAGGGCCCGCGGATTAAGATGGGGGTTCTGAGTTTTGCGTTTTTAAGGTTTTAGCTGCTGTTTTTTGTTTTTGGGATTAGCATTATTAGGGTTGGGATTTGTGGTGCGGCTCATCTGCTTGGCTTCCCAGCAAACGGGTTTGGTGTTTGGGGTTCAGGGTTTGGGGTTTAAGGGTTTAGAGTTTAGGATTAGGGTCTGGGATTTAGGGTTTAGGGTTGGGTTTAGGATTGGCGGAAGGGTTACAACAAGGATTTGGGAGAATGGCTGTATATCCCTAAACCCTAAACCCTAAAACCCTATAGATCCCTTAAAGGAGCCCTTAAAGGTACCCTTATAGATCCCTTTAAAGGACATGATGTGGTTGCATTAGTTCGGGTTTTCTTGGGCAGCCTAAGCGGCTGCCTTGAGGATGCAACAGAAAGGAGGTGGTTTAAGGTTTATGGTTTAGGGTTTAGGGTAAAAAAAGCATGATAAGCCCCATACTCCGTATACTTACTGTTTACTGGTTGAGGCGTGATACTTCTCATAAAGGCCTACACCCTACGCACAGACTCCAACAGGCTTCAGCCATGTACTATTCCTGCCCAGTTTGTGCGATGTCCCGTCCTTTCTTCAGAAATCCACTTGGCTTTAAGTAGGTTCTTGGTGTGTGAACGGTTTGCCGTAACTTGGAGTCTCTGGCCCCCTGAGAGCCTGAAAGCTTCGAGTGCATATAATGTAGGGGCCTGCATAGTTCCCTACACTGTTTTGGGGGGTTCCCTATTACGGTATGATGCGGGTTAAAACCCTCTTCTAATGATTCCCTAAACCCTAAACCCTAAACCTTAAACCCCAATTATATTGAAACTCTTGAGCTCCTGAGCCCGACTGTGCAAAAGTGCTTCCACAAGCCCTTCGAGTCCTGAACCCAAATAGTATTTGGATCAAAACGACCGTTGGCTCTGCTACGGTTGATGATATACATCCTGCATTACCCATAGTAAGGAATATACCATAATTCCCATAGTTTAGGGTCCTGAAGGTAATGCAGGATTTATATCATCAACCGTAGGAGTTGGGGGGTTTTAGGGTCAGCTGCGACCCCAAAGCCTCACCACGCACAGAAAGCCAGCGCGAACTATAAAACCCCAAATGCACCACTCCCCGATAACATGCCAAAAAGCCTCGACACCCCTTACAGGATAAACCGCACACCTTGAATCGCCTAACCCGTAAACAGCCTGTGAACCCCTGAGCAACCGGCAGTCCTTCAAGCGAAACCTTGCAGAATCCTCAGCAAACGAACTGCGAGAGGCCATCCTTGCGAGAGCTCCTCAAGGATGAGGACCCGTCCTAGTGAGCTTTGAGGTGTTCCTTTAATAATTTCGTTCGGGTTTAGGGGTGTACTGGTAGAGTTTTGAAATGGCTTTGCGGCCTGTTTCAAGGTGCTGAATTTTGCACGTTTTGTGTGACCTTGTAGGGTTCCGCGCGGGTTTAGGCGCATTAATGCTCTGTCTTAAGATCCCTCCAAGAGCAGTAAGATGGGGGCCTTCTACGACGAGTATGTCGGGTTTCTACTATAGGGGTCTTAATAATTAGCCGTACCATTCTGGGGGTTCCTTATCATAATTTTGGTATAGTGGGCCCCAATTCCTTATTCTAATTCTTAAGGTCCCTATATTCATAGTATCCCTTAAAGGAACCCTATTCTTATTATTAAGGCCCCTACAGTAACTTTGTTCTACAGGTTTCCAGGATCTGGAGTCCAATGTAGGAACCTGATTAAGAAACCCCCGCCCTATAACCCCCAATATCTTAGGATTCATAGAAGGAACCCTAATAAGGCCCCAGGTTTCTTAGTCAGGCTCCTACACCACCCCCCCCCCAAAAAAAAAAATCCGTATAGTACCCTTATAGTACCCTTTAAAGGAACCCGACTAGTACCCTAAAAAAGGCCCAAGGTGTTTTGAACATCAGGTTCCTACATATTCCTTCTTTTGCAAGGCGGCTAGAGCCTTGAGCGTCGAAACCATGAAGTCGGGAGGCGGCAGTGGGGGGGGGGGGGGCTATAAGGGTTCCTTTAAGGGTTCGTTTAAGGGGGTGGGGTTTAGGGTTTAGGGTTTAGGTAGGGGCGAGGGGGTGGTGGACTCTACTTCCTTGAATAACAGGCATCATTAGGTGCTTATCATGGGCATGAAGGCCCCCTCCCCCCCCTCCCCTTCCCGACCCCCCTAAGGGTCCCTATGATGAAGATGATACCAATGCGGGGTCCTTAACAATTAGGATGGGATTATGAGAGTATATTATACTGCAAACTCCCGCAACCCTATTCTAGTTATTAAGGTCCGTACATTAGACAGTTGTTTGCAGGGGTCCGTTGTCGTTTAAAGTATACCAAGAATCCCCGAGGAATAGTGTTCGCACTTATCCAGGCTTCTATGTTCGACCTGCCTTCAGCCCTAAACCCGAAACCGACCCTGGAAGGGTTTTTAGAGTGTTGGCTTTGACAACAGTAATAGAGCGGTCGGAAGAACTAGCAACTCTCCAGACGTTTGAATAAGATCCAGAAATCTACTCGCACTAAGATGTAGGACCCGAGACAGCTTACATCCAGTAGCGTAGACCCGGTGTTTATCACCCTTTCGTGGAGGGCCTTGATATGAGGATCCAATGAGGACCCCTGGCCCTAGGAGCTTTGCTGCTACATATTGGGCCTGTCACCCCTGACAACCCCAAGCCTAGTTACAAGGGTCAGCAGAATTAGGAATAATCCTCATGGTCCCCAGCTCGTTTGATGATATTTGCAGTGGTTTATGATCTTTTGCCGGGCTTTTGGAGCCATCTTGAACCCACAGTGTTTGGCTTTGGGGTTCTATTGGGCCTTTGTACACAAGTTCACAATGTCGGCTTCAGCACTGAAGGCTCTATTGAGTTACGACTCAAGGGTTTATTGAGTTCGGTTTAGGGTCTAGGGTTTCTTGTGTCTTGTGGTCCAATCTTGGGACCCTTTGAAAACGGTCTGGAGACTCCAATATCATTACTTGAGAAGTAGATTGCCGTAGGTTATAGTTGCTTAGTAGTGGAGTAGGAAACCTTTAACCTTTTTTTGGGTAGTATAGTCCCTATATAATCCCTATATACCCAAAAATGTTAACCTTTAGTTACTCATGATACCCGACAAGTAGGGTTGGGATCGCTAAGAAGAGATCATTTGTTCAACGGCGGTGTGGGAGTTCCTAGGCACACTGTGAACGAGGTTGATTTCTGAATGTTTGGGGCTACGGAGTGCTGGCAGATTGAGCCGAAGAAGGCCTATAATCTCGAATCGTATTCCTTAAGTTTCCCGATGTGGGTTCTGTAACAGAAAACCGAGATTAACACAAACAGGGCAGTGCACAGGGCGGGGGTGCTAGAAATTGTGCAGTACCGACTGCAGCGAGAATCCTGTCGATGTGAGTGCAGCAAACGTCGTGTCGCGGTAGTTGACAGTTCTCACGACAGTAAAGTTGCGATTTGGCAACAGTGCAAATAAAACGAGCAACAGTAGTAGCTACAGGCACGGAGTAGCCGGAGTACCTCGGGTTTGGCTGGTGAGAAGGTCACTTGCAGCGCGTGGTTAAATAGATCTATCCTTCTAACAAACTAATGATTATTGGGAGCGAAACAGCACTTGAACGGCATTCTGCTCAGTGGGACTCGCAGGAGTCGTCACGTAGTTGGAGTGTGTATCGACTTGGCATCTAGCTTATCGTCTGTGCAACTCCGACCCCTGCCAGCATGTTCAGGGCGTAGGGCGTAGGGTTTTTCTGGTTCAAGCTTTAAGGTTTACATGGTAGTTTCCGAAAATAGGGGACCCTAATATGGCACCCTAAATAGTAGGATCCTTAGTATAGGGGCCCCAAAATAAGGTACCCCCAATTTTCGGAAACTCCCACATGAACCAATGTTTCTGAGATCCAGAGCGCACTGCATCCGAAACTTTTTCGCAGTATATGGGTGTTTCCGATTACTGGGGGTACCATATTTTGGGGCCCTTATAATAAGGATCCTTCTATTTAGGGTACTATATTAGGGTCCCCTATTGTTCGGAAAGTCCCATGTAGACACACGTCAACTTGGTCCTTGGATTCGAAACGAACTTGTTCTCGTGTCTTCTGCTGCAGGATCCGTCGGAATCATCCGACTCTGTGGATGACGAGTCACCTGAGTTGACACGTGACT